AAACTATTGCAATAGATGTTTTAAAAAACTTGCCTCTTCCATGATATAATAACCTGTCATATAAAACATTTTTCTTCGATTGTTAAATACTCAAAAAAATGTTGTTTAAGTAAAGATATATACTTATTATTCACTAGAGAGATGTTAGAATTGTTAATTTAATTAAATTTATTTTAAATGAAAATGAGGGATGTTATTTATATTTTTAAATATCTACGTAACTTATGAATTCATTATTAAAACGCAAGTTAATTTATATTAACCTAACTTATATCTTTAATTTAACTTATTCAATTAAATATTATCATTGATATTAAAATGTTACAGCATTGTTGATAAATCCTCTTACACACACAAGAATATTAGCTACAACCAATGAGTATCAAAATTCTTGAATATATATCGGTTAAGTTTCATATGATTTTTGTTTAGCTGGTTACGTCAATCATTATTTTCATGTAGAGAGTAATTAATCCTCTTCAAACTCTACCAATTCGTCGAAATCATATTTTTTCAGAACGAGTTGAAGGAAATATTTATGAGACACAAATGGTATTATATATTATTATAAATATATAATATTCAGAAAAAAAATGTAGTGAATTCAAGTGGACTAATTCATGATTCCTTTCTCAGTATAAATACGTAAATTAAAAATGTTAGCCGCACTTGAAAAAAAAATAAAAATTCTACCGTCATATTTTTGCAGATATCGCCCTCGAAAAAGGACCAGGATTGATTGACTCGAGGAGACTTTTTCAGTGGAACAAATCAAATTGATTATTATCAAAATCAATTGACTTTAAGAACAATTACATCTAATTACAAACTATACGAAAATTATCTATTTTTTATGGGGATTTACCTCCAAAAACAACGATCGACTTGCATATATCTATCTTTATTAAGAGGCCTTAACTTCCATGATCAGAAATTCATCTAAGCTGAACCTCTTATTGTATGCAAATAACCTAACCCAAGAATTCCGCATATCCATTGTGCGCATTAAAAGAAAAGGAATTAATGTGTATATATATCCTTAGAATACTTATATTATAAACTCATATAACTATGTACACAGCAAGCAACCATATATGGAGGTTTCCATTTTTAATTCAATAGAAGAAAAAAATAACACATCTACTCGGATCTGAGTTGGATTCCAACTAGCCGGCTAAGTTGACCAAATAGCATATTTATTTCTAAATTTCAAGCAATTGCAACGAAAACATGCATGTCATGATCATCATCGCAATTCCTCGGAGTTAGTTTTTTCACAATATTCACGAGTTAGTCTTTCCACACATAATATTGAGTTAGATAGCAGGATATTGAGTTAAATAATTAAAATTATGTTTTATCAAAAGACTAAAGCATATTAGTTGGTGTTTTATTCTTAATTTTTTATATTATTTAGTTTTTATTTATTTATTTAATATAAGATATGTTTTTTAATATTTTCATTCACTTATTGTTCATATTTTGAGGTGAACCATTGAACTTTTTGAGAATATAGTAACATATTGCGCTAGATAATTAAAATTACATTTCATTCAAAAAATTTATATTAATAGTGAGTGGTTCCTCTTTAATTTTATATATTATTTATTTATTTTTATTTATTTAATATAAGATATATTTTTTAACATAAAAGAAATATATAAATTTATTTTAGATAAGAATCAAACATTTATCCAACGAATAATTTATAATCTAAAACACCATGTATAATATGTAATTCGCTTCAAAATGAAGGAATTCCCCTTTACAACACATTTTCTAAATAAAGAACGTAGCCCTCTTATTCATTCTAAAAAATAAAAAATAGATTTTTTATCTATTTTCTCTCTCTCTCTCTTTTTTTTTTTTTTCCTTTATGGCAACAAAGTAAGTACATCAACTTTGAATGTTTTCTCAATCGAATATATTGATTTTTTTTTTTGTTTTAGTATATTAATTTTTTTAAAAATATTAATCAAGTTTTTTGTGATAATTTGTTTTTAATTAATTAGATGACATTGTTTCCATTCTTAATCCCTGTCAGAATCCTAATCCTTTCATCTAAAATAAAACTTTAAATTTCACTTGGAATTATTTTGTGATAGTTAATTATATAAATGACAATATTTTGTTTTCTTTTTCGTCGAGGATGAGAATGCACGTTCCAAAGGTGGTGGTTGGATATGACCTCCGGTTCAAAATATCTAACTTGTAACTCACCTAACAAAAATTACAAAGCAAAATGGTTGTTACTTCCATTATTTTTTTTGGCTTTTTATATTATATCTAATCTCTCTTCTTGTGCATAAAAGTGCTGTCCGAAGATTCTTATAGGAAGGTGCAAAGAGCACCTGCCTTGATTTTTGAAAGAATCTTTCATCTAGATTCTTCCTATAGTCTTGGACATACTTTATGGATGATTTTTTTCATTTCCTTTTTGGAATGAGAAAAATCTTATTAACAAAATTGATTTCAGAACCATTGGGTATGTGCTTCGTATATTCCAAAGGGTAAAATTTGAGTTTCAATTCTTTCTTTTTGTTGTTTCTTTTCATTTTTTCAACTAACATAGAAATCTATTATTCAACTCAATTATTATTTCTATTTAGGTCCCAGACCTGCGCTCATACTCCCAACAAATTCATTTTTTTTCCTTGAAAATAACGTTCTACAACTTTTTTAAATATTGAAAAAAGAAAAATTACACAACGCTAGTGTTCTTTAGATATGATTAAGTTAATCCAATCGTATATCTAAACAGCCAATTATGTATAGGTGTAATAGTTTTTATGTGATGAATTGTTGGAGAGTCTGACCGATATTGTGAATTTCCTAATACATATATACTTAATTCTTAAAACTTCATGTTACACATTGCAAAAAAAAAAAAAAAAGAAAAAGAAAAAAGGTTTTTGTGAATGCACCAACTTAAATATAAATAATCTATTTGAAAATCGACTATATAAAAAAATAATTTGTTTAAAAATTGACTACGCAAAAACCTAATTTTAATATATAAAATTAAATGATCCAAAAACATATTTTTCATTAAAACTAAAAGAAAAATTAAAACGACATAAGAGAATGACCTCATTATGCTATGAATTGATTTAGTTAATCTATCTACATTATTAATTTAAACAAGAATACTATTATTTTTTGTATAATTATCAATACATCATCTATTAATACGTGTTATATAATATTTATTAATAATTAATAGAAGATTTATTAATAATTATATAAAAATAATAATTTAATTGATGAATTTGATGTTAATGTTCTAAGTAAATGTAATCAATAAATTCAACAGTGAACAACTGTAGACTTTTTTTTTTTTTTTTGGTAATAAGTACCATAAAAACAGGGAAGCAAGTCCGAAAATAATTTTAAAAGCCCAACTCCTTGCAAGTTGCAACTGAAACAATGCAGGACCGTGAAAAATTAGACACAGACAGGTTAACTCAAGCTGTCACAACTCACACCAGTCATGACCAAATTTAATAATTATTCCTCTCCTTTTTTTATTTTTTATTTTGATAAAAAAATAATCAATCCTCCCCTCAATCGCCTTTTAAAAAATCTTACCTAACCCAACTCAATTTTAATTAATCTTAATCCATGACCATCACTGTAATAATACGGACCGGTCGGACCCCTCATCTCCGCACCAAAACCGATAAAACAAGTTGCCAGTGGAATATCCAAGCTTTCCTTATCAAAATCACGACAAAAAACAAAGGTTGTCGTTTTTGCCACGTCATACCATCAAGCCAGGATTAATTTATCCTCTTGCCCCCGTTAACCGGCTGCTACCGGTCTCCTTTCTTACAGAAAAAACGTTAGGTTTGTCTCTCTCTCTCTCCCTCTCTCCACCTATAAATATGAGCTCTTGCAAAAATGCTCTTTTTTCTCTCTTTCCACTCTCTCTCCTGTTTTCTCTCTATTGTGTCTTTGCTTTCTCTTTCTCTGTTCACTGACCGTTTGCCGGCGAAATCGCCGTCGCCGGAGAGATTCTTTATCCGTCATTTAGTCTTTATAAGGTTGTTTTTTTTCCCTCTTCGTTGCTTGGTTCTCTCTTTTTTCCGTGTGTAGATATTAAAAAGCAGAAGGTTTTTAGATCTGGGTTTTTGTGTCTCAATTTGTTGCTTTCTTTGTTGGAAATCACAATTTTGACCTCTTGTTTTACATTTTTCCATGAAGCGGTCTTTTTTTTTAAATTTTTTTAGATGGTAAAAAAAAGTATTTGTCTTCTGTTATTTTGATATTTTGTTGATCTTGATCTACTATTGTTGATTTTCAAGTTTTGTTTTTCGGTTTTTAATGGTAAATGTAATTGAAATTTAAGTGTAATGTATGTGTTTTGGGTAAAACTGCAAAACTAAATGAAGGGCATTTTTGTTTTTCATTTTTTAAGTTGTAAAGCTTGTTGATTTGCCTTGAAACTTTGCTCTTCAATGGTTTTGTTTTTTATTTTTTTTAGTTAATTGAAAAGGGGATTTCTTTTGTTGTTTCTTATTTTGAAATCCTGTAAAGCTAGGCGATAGATAAGAGAACTGGTTGAGTTGATCAAGTCTCCATTTTCTTTTTCTTCTGAGCATATTCAATGCCTATAAAGCTTTATATACCAGATAAGTTTTAATTCTTGGTTAAATAATGGAGTGTATTTTAATGGACGAGAGGTTATTAATTTCGCTTATAAATAGTGTTCATAGCAAGTTACATTTTCTATTTTGAGCTATCCATTCCATTGAGCTTTACATATTTTCTATTTCTGGTATCTTACTTTATTGTTGATGATATTTGTGTGTGTTAAATAATTTATTTGTTTGTCTGACCGTTGAATGTTTATATTCTAAAGCTGTGATTCTTGTTTTGCATTTGGTGATAGAAACAAAGCATTCTCTGTATTAATCAAGGATTGAAAGAGAAAAACAAATGGACGTAACTAAAGAGATGGGGGGCTCAGGAATGTAAGCTCGGTGTGTTCAATATCTGAAATGGATGATTTTGATCTCTCCCGCCTCCTTGACAAGCCAAAGTTGAACATAGAGAGGCAGAGATCGTTTGATGAGAGGTCCCTGAGCGAGCTCTCGATTGGGCTTGCAAGAGGTATTGATAACTATGAGACCACATATTCTCCTGGTGGAAGGTCCGGGTTTGACACGCCAGCCTCGTCAGCTCGCAACTCTTTTGAGCCTCACCCCATGGTAGCTGATGCGTGGGAGGCTCTACGGCGGTCTATAGTTTACTTCAGATGCCAACCAGTGGGTACTATCGCTGCATATGACCATGCCTCAGAGGAGATATTGAACTATGATCAGGTAATTTTTTATAACCAACTGGGTAATTCTCCTCATGGTTTTGTTAGTTTTCTGTGTCATTAATGGGGCATCAAGCATTTTCTAGTTGGTTTAATTTGTGTTCTGTGGTTCATGTGTTATGAGACTTGATAGACTGTTTGTGTATTGTGTTACTGTATCTTGTTGATTGTATGCATAAAAAAGGAAGGGGGCTTTTTACTAAGCATGCAATACATAAATAAGTAATTGCTATGTGCTGATGACTATGATCCCAGTAGGGGTTGGAATCAATCATATTGAGGAAGTCATGAAATTGTAAAATCTGTTTGAAGTTAGGGAAATGGTCAGCTTTTATTTGGTCTGCATGTAAAGCAAAGATGACAAACTCATTAAATATGGGAGCTGTGAATATTTGAAGAATGCACGTAGTGGAGGTACAGAGTAAAAAGTCAAGCAGGGTTTGGATTGTATGATAAATGTAAAACTAAATCCTCTAAGAGCCATTAATTCTTGGTAAATGATGTATTGGAAATTTCATAAAACTCCTTGCTTTTGACTTGTCCAAATTGGAGGTAGTGGCAAATGTGAACATATGCATTTGTCAGAGGAATATGAATTGAGTATCATTTTATCTAATTGTCTTGAGGTCTTCTGTTCAGGTTTTTGTACGAGATTTTGTACCCAGTGCCCTAGCTTTTCTAATGAACGGTGAACCTGACATAGTCAAGCACTTCCTGTTGAAGACGCTGTATCTCCAAGGGTGGGAAAAGAGAATAGATCGATTCAAGCTTGGCGAAGGAGCAATGCCAGCTAGCTTTAAAGTTCTCCACGATCCTATTAGGAAAACAGACTCCCTTGTTGCAGATTTTGGTGAGAGTGCAATTGGAAGAGTTGCTCCAGTTGACTCTGGTTTCTGGTGGATCATTCTGCTCCGAGCATATACGAAGTCTACTGGAGATTTATCTCTAGCAGAGAGACCGGAGTGCCAGAAGGGAATGAGGCTCATATTGACGCTCTGCTTGTCAGAGGGGTTTGATACTTTCCCTACCCTTCTTTGCGCTGATGGATGCTCTATGATTGATCGCAGAATGGTAAGCTGTTCTCATGTCTCTCTCTGTCCCTTCCTCTCCATGTGTATGTATGTGACTGCTGCGATTAATTTTATTATTTATGCCTTACTAAATGCCTTTAAAGATCAAGTGATTTGAGTTCTTCTGAAAGTATGGTGGAGAATCTAATTCATTCATTCTCACAACTGTAATCATTTGGCCAAGCAGTCACACCTTGAAATAATTTCTCTTTCTGACCTGCAAACTTCAACAAGTAGCAGACATGAGACACAGAACAGATTGATGAAGTTGATTTTTCGGTGCACCACATCTTTGTTTTAGCTATCAATTATTTTTTTCTAACCCTTTTCATTTTTGAGCTGGAGGGGAATTTTTGTGTACGATTAGCGTAAAAGGATATAAACATAACCTAAATTAACTCACTGTATATGCATTTATATGGAGTGCCTGTGAAATTTGAACACCCTGTTATATTCATTGAAGCTTGTTGACAAATGTTTGAATGTTAATGGAGCCTATAAAGCTTGGTGTTGACTAAGCACACCTGCAGCCAAAGCAGTTGCCTAAAGTCCAAGTGTCCTGTTTTTGATGTGAAGTGCTGCATGCATTCAAGTAGAGTTGGATGTTCGTATTCAGTCAATGCTATCATGTAACATGCTTATCATATGATAGTTTTCAAATTCTTAGAAAATTAAAGTCCTATGCAGTTCAGAAGCACTTCAAGAAATCAACTCTTTGTTTCCTTCTGGCCCTGCTTTAATGCAACTGATGATACCATCTTTCTGTATTTTCTCTTTCTATACAAATGCAGTCAATAAACAAACATAGAGTAATATACTATTTTCTTATCGATGCTAATTACAAAAAATAAAAGGACGAAATTACAACATGGTGGTTGTCGAAATGTGAGGCTTAGTTTTTCTCATTAATCATCGACACTTTTCTTCTAATATTTCTAGGGATCGGATTATATTCTGTTTGAATCACCAACATCCTGTCATCAAAACAAAATGTCACTTTGATGTCTTCCTTGCAACAGTAATTCACAGAGGCCAAAATATCATAATCTAGGTTCTCTTTCACCCCCAACCACACACGTGCATGCAGACTAAACTAAATGCTTAGTTTATATAATTTCTCTTGCAGGTTGTTCTGTTTGGCATTACAAAAGCTGATTGATCTTCATTTCAGATGTTAGGTCTTCAGCCCACTCATCTCCTCCAAGGGTTTTGAGAAGTGCAACTTTGTTAAATGTTCTAACTGCATGGATTTATTTGCACTTTTGCAGGGTATCTATGGTTATCCTATTGAAATTCAAGCACTTTTTTTCATGGCATTGAGATGCGCTTGCTCAATGTTGAAACATGACGAAGAAGGAAAAGAATTTATTGAGAGAATTGTGAAACGTTTGCATGCCTTGAGCTATCACATGCGAAGTTACTTCTGGCTTGACTTTCAACAACTGAATGACATATACAGATATAAGACCGAGGAGTACTCTCACACTGCTGTAAATAAATTCAACGTTATTCCTGATTCAATTCCAGAATGGGTATTTGATTTCATGCCAACTCGTGGAGGCTACTTTATTGGCAATGTTAGTCCTGCGAGGATGGATTTTAGATGGTTTGCTTTGGGTAATTGCATTGCCATTCTGTCTTCTCTTGCAACTCATGAACAATCAATGGCTATCATGGATCTCATTGAAGCACGCTGGGAGGAGCTGGTAGGAGAAATGCCTCTGAAAATTGCTTATCCAGCAATAGAAAGTCATGAATGGCAAATTGTAACTGGCTGCGATCCCAAGAATACCAGATGGAGCTATCATAATGGAGGATCTTGGCCAGGTATGTTTCTCTTTCCCTCTGTTTACTTTATATTGTGATTAATTAATAAATATTTCTTTCCATGAGTACGTTCTTTCCATCATACTTTATTAGGTTGATTGATTATTATTTGGCATGACAAGGCTGAATCTGAAATTTTAGAATGATTTTTTAAGTTGAGAAGCTAGTAGACAGAGAACACCAAACCATATGGTCTACATTCTCTGACTGGTTCTGCATTTTAGCTTTCAGTATCCCCTTTGTTTTTATTTCAACTTAGTTATACCCATTACCTTTTGCACTCAGACATATTGTGATGGAGGTGGGAAATGGAAACTAATATGAGATGTTGAGATAGTATTTAGGAGGTCCCAGACTGAGCTGCTTTCGATGATCCTCAGATTGCTCTAATTTTTCATAAAACAGGAATTCCCTCACCGATGCTGTTTTGAATATTCATAACATAACATGCAAATTGTACCTTATTGAGAAGCTCTGGCTGCACTATTCTCTCTCTTTATCCATGCAATATAGCACAGTTCAGTCTCCTTGAATCAGGAGAGAAATTATTAGATACTTTCGGTCTATTGCTCCCTCACTCATATAAAAGTGGGTCCCACTATGATAACTACTCATCAGTCTCATTTTACGTGAGTGTGGGAGTGACAAACCGGGAGTACCTAATAATCTCTCGAATTAAGATTTGAGCAGTGCCTAGGTATCAAGGATACTGAGATGATCAATTGGACTGCATTAATTGTTTTAGATAGATTTATAAGTTTATAAGGGAATTCAATGAACAAGTTTCTAATTGTAGGATGAGCTGCTCACTCATTCAGTGCCATGATTTAGACACAGCGTAATGTAGTTGACTCCAAGTTACCTTAAATGGCCCTCCTTATGCATTGTCATCTTAATTTCCATCAGCTAAAAGCTTATGCCTCCATGTCTTCCTTTTCCAACGATGAAATGTTGATTTCAAGAATTTGGAACTGTCACTGTCTCTAGTCTGTTATTTCTGTTTCTCTGAACTTACTTTTGAAAGTCTTTCTCTAACAATATGTAGTGAATAAATATATTTTCTGTATGTTGTGTTTTCCTTTTGCATCATGTTTCTCTTTTTTTCCTTTTTCCTTTTGTTACATGAAATGCAGTGCTTTTATGGTTGCTGACTGCTGCATGCATCAAAACGGGACGACCCCAAATTGCAAGAAGAGCTATTGATCTTGCCGAGACCCGTCTTCTGAAAGACAGCTGGCCGGAATATTATGATGGGAAACTTGGCAGATATGTTGGTAAACAGGCAAGGAAATATCAAACATGGTCAATTTCTGGATACTTGGTGGCAAAAATGTTGCTGGAGGACCCTTCACACTTGGGGATGATTTCTTTGGAAGAGGACAAGCAACTGAAGCCTATGATAAAGAGATCGTCTTCTTGGACTTGCTAAAGGGGCATTCGAGCAAGGGATATTGAAAAAAGAAAAAAAAAAAAGAAAAAAGGGAAAGAACACGGAAGGTGAGAAATGCAGGGTTTCATTACAGCATCATTCTTTGGCGTTTGTCCTCGTAGGTTTGATTGAACTTTTGGTTTTTGTACAATAGTTACCGCTAAGACCATGCCCAATAAGAGATACATTTTGCTGTTTGTGTTGCAAAATTTTTTGAAGGGCATCATGGAAATGCCATAATTGGTTTATATTAGCTTCTGACAGCGGCAATGGAACAGGATTTATGTTAGTTGTTAATCAAGGACTTTCCACTGCAACTCTGCAAGAAACTGGAAAAAGTTAATATGAAATACAGAATTTTGAATTCATATTTGATGCATCCTTACTGTGCAAAACAGATTTGTTTGTTTGTTTATTTCATTATAAAGGCTAACATAGCAACAATTTCCGTTTTTCTGCAACATTTTGTGGTTATTGATCTGCATATGCTAAACTATTTTAATGAGGAAATGCTAGTACTGCATGAATAAAAATGGTCATTACACCACAATAATCCTTCCTCCTGTTATAGTTCTGATTGCTTCTCAATTCAAAGGTATTTTGATGCCTTCCCAATAAAAAGGGAAAAAATTATAATGCTGATCCAAGCATCTCTGGTCAATCTGGGACCAAAAACCTATCTGCCAAATTTTTAGGCAGAGACAATTTGGGGACCATGTCTTTCTTTCAATCCCTTTTCCAACTTGAAAAGGAATATCCAAATTTTACTTGCGGTTATAATAAGACACGATGAGAAGGAAGAAAAGGTCAAATATCCCGATGGACAACAAGCGATACAATTATGAAAACCTCATGGCCATGGATGATGCTGGAGAATAAGAAACCACATTCAGGAACCAGTGTCGATAAAAAATAAAGTTAGTCCCATGTTTAAATCCTGATTGATTAGTCTTCTGAACTTAAATTTCTTATACTCCACAATATTTTTACTTCGAAGAACTAATGTTTCAATAAGTTGCTGATAAAGACCCAGGGAAGTTGAAGAATTTTGCATGGATTGGATTCACTTGAATAGATTTTTCTGTGTTTTTATGCATACGAGTCCAAAAAAGACATGTGCCTTGTCCACGTGAAACAGTCTCACAAGTCTTCGTCAAGGATTCTACCCCTTCCCCTATCGTCCACTATCTTAGACAAAATAAAGAAATTCCCCAGCCACTGTGGTTGCGAATCAGCAGCCAGCTCATGCATTAAAAAAAGAAAAAGAAAAATTGTTTCCTTCCTTTTTTTTTTTATAAAAATTTCCGTTGCCGGGAATCGAACCCGGGTCTCCTGGGTGAAAGCCAGATATCCTAACCGCTGGACGACAACGGAATTCTGACTTGAGTAATATATCTCTAGTAATAAATAGAATATGTTTAGGTGATAAATTGACCAAACATATACTAACAAGATTGGATTAGAATTTCAATGGGTTTGAATTACAGTTTAATTGTCGACCATATTAAAATTTTGAATCCAAAGGTGAGTTTGCACAAATTCTAATTAAACTGATTATGACATAAAAAGAAAGTCATAAAAAATTATTGAAGTACGAAATATCATTAAGGAAAGCTAATCCCTTCGTTTCTCTTTCTTCTCATTTTTCAGATTCGTAACATAATTAAAGTTCATGGCCGCACAAAAAGTCATCAAAGAAAGCTATGAACAGAAAGTCATCAAAGAAAGCTATGATCAATGTAGCTGTGCACCGGAAATGATTGGATACAATAAATTACTTATTGACAAAGTTTTGGAACCTAATTAAAAAGATTGTAGAAGAAATGTGAATTCAATCAATTTAGTTTGATAAAATTAAACTTATGATTTTTTCTTTTTAGTAATTCAAAAATTGACCACTCTTCTATTATTTTGATTTTGATTGAATACCAATTGATATTAAAATAAAAAATTTTAAATCTCTCATGTTTTTAAAATCGAAAAAAATAGATATTAATCTAACAAAAATCATAAAAGACGTGAAAAGTAAGATTTGAATCTTAAACTTCTTGTTTGAAAGTATGATAAAGATCATTTTATAATATATATTTTTAAATTAATTGTTTTAATATTTAAAATTTATATAGATCCATATCATTTTATGTTAGAGAAGATATTCGATTAATATGATCAAAATCATAGTTGCTTCATATATATAACATACGGTAAAAGTCAATTCGTGATCAAAACAAACCGTTTTTGTTTTTTTTTTTCCTTATCTCTTTTATCTCCCTCTTTATTTATATATTGTGCATAGGGCAAGCATTGACTAGAGGTGGCTGTATTGAAGGGAGAAAACGAAAACACAAGAGAAGAGGCGATATATGAACAACTTTAGTGGTGGAAAAGATCTTTGGCAGACAAAAACATTGACCTTACTTTTCCTAGCTAATAAGGTCAATTACTAGCGGATAATATCCCCTTTATCCTGAAAATCCTCGATTCAAAGTTGGAAGGGCCAATTAGACAAAAATTAATACTTAAATGTCGACCTTCTTATTCACTGTACACTGGGACATTAATTTTCATAATCGGGTCACGTTTGCTTCCACTTCTGGCATGGTAATAGTTCGACTACTACCTTTGCCAGAAATCGTGCTTCACAAAACCAAAATTGCACTGGTTAACACCAAAAAAAAAGCTTAGCCCATAGTTTTTGGTTTAATTAAGTTATTCTTGGGATCATTTTTCAGTTTCAATTTTCGTAGGTCAATTGGTGTGAGGTTTAGAGAAGAATCTACGTACAGTAAACATTAAAAGAAAAACAAGGAAGAAGAACTGTGTGGAGCAAATTTGTTTGCTGGATGTTTGAAGGAAATGATTCAAAAAGTATCGAAATGAATGGTTAAGTTTTGTGTTGGTTGGGAATTGAAGAGGAAGAAGGCAGTAGAGTGGAGGGGAGTCACTATCAAGAATCCTAACATGGGGTAACCAACAAAGCAGAGAGTGATGCATGCACAGTAAATTTGCTGTCTATAGACAGCAACACGACTGTCAAACATCATATCACCATATGCAATTTATTCTTCCACATTTTTTATGAAATACAGTAAATGCCTACTGGTTAATTTTTAGCTCAATTTCAGATAGGCAAACACATGCTCATCAGAAAGTAGAAAAAACATACAAACTCTCTCTCTAGCATTCAAGTAAAGAGGGAGGGGACAGCATCTGCCACCTCTTTAATCCTTATATATGTATATGATTTCCACAACACACAGCATAAGATTTACATTTTTTTAGCTTTTAATTCAATTGTTGCTTTAATTTTCTTCCTATATATATATATATTTTTTTCATTGATCATCACAGACACACACACACAAAAAAAGGAAGTAAAATCTCTTGAGACTAAGCAACAGCGGAGATAATTTGTTTTTGTCATATGATGTATTCTCAAGTTAAAATTTTCTTTAGGACAAAATAAATTAAATTAAAATGACAAGGGAACATGGAAAAATGTTCTCACAAAAATAGGGTTATTTATTTATGGAAGTGATGCTGATTTCGTGATTAAGGAAGCGTGCTTCTTTCGTTAAAATTATTATTTAAAAATTTTATTTGCTTTAAATGCATCAAACTAATGTAGAAAATCTATCCTTAAAATTATGGGAAAAGTAAACATGATTTTTCTAACGTGTAATATATTTTATCATCTAATAAAATAAAAAAAATGATGCATGATAGACAATGAGCCAGGGCTACTTCGTGTTTGTGAATATATGGCTCCATCCCTTAAACTACGTATTAAGTAGATTTCTCTTCGACCATAATTTCTCAAACATACGGGAAAAAAAAGATTCAATGTATTATCATAGAAAAATAAAAAAAAATTTAAAAATTGATAATTTAAAATCGATTTGTTTTTGTTTTCAAAGCAAACAAAGGGGACCTAATTGGGCCTACCGTATCTTACCTGGGCTTCGTTTTGGTTACACAATAATAAACTCCACGTGAACAGGTTTATGACATGCTGGAAATTATGGATTACTTTTCACATGTCAAATGCTTCACTTCCTTGCTACATAGAAAACACAACAACAGTCGATACAGATATACGGCAATCGATAGGGTTCAGACAGTTTTTTTTTTTTTTCTCTTTCCTTTAAGACCCAGAAAATTTAAGTCTATACCCTACTCTCATTTCATTCTTGTTTCGGTCAAGTTGAGGCAAACTCCTCATCATCCACATGCATGCTGGGTATTCGCTAGATATCCGACTCGACAAAATCCAAATTTTATTTTTGGTTTTTTTTTTTTAAATCCAAATACATATAACACAAAGAAATCACTACAATTCAAAAAATTATTATTATTATTATTTTTTTACCAAAAAGTAGTGTTTTCCACGAAATATTTGATGCAGAACAGAATACTATTAATTGTTGATCAATGTACGTAATTATAGTATCCAATTCTTCAGTTGTGGATTGATGCAATTTTATTCTCTTAATTTCATCTTCTAATTAAAGAGGATTGTGTTGCATAATATTTAGTAGTCCTGATATAGTGTCCATAGATGGATGATGGAGATGGTGAATATATGAGATGGGAAGTTTGGATTTCTTGACTTTGCGAAATATAGTCGATCCACAAATAAATAAATATTCAAAGAAGAAGAAAAGTAGGGCAAGTTGGAGTTGACTGGCCGACGCCTAGTTGCCTCTTAAATAGGAAGGTTGATATGCAAGTTTGGGTTGGGAAATTTGTGTAAGAAAAGAAAACAAAAGCAAAAGCAAAAGCAAAAGAGAGAAAACAAGAAAATGTAGAGTGGAGCTCTGCTGGGATGAGTTGTCACAGTCCATTCGAAGCTTAGCTGAGCTGTCTAGCTTCTGCCTCTTGAATGTACACCATTATGGCCATGTTGCCTGACCTTCCAAGCTCAATTCGTATGGACCTCCTTTAATCAAAACTCTCTCCTCCTCCTCCTCCTCCTCCTTCTTTTTTTTTTCCTTCAAAATTCTATCATGACACTGGGTCATTTGTATTATATATAGTGATTTTTTTTTTAAAAAAAATTTGCAACCAATGATATATTTAATTTACTTAATTATAAAAATGTAAGTAAAATTATGAAATACATAAAGTAGAAAGTATTGAAATTATAAGCCCTATTGTTAGGGTTGGTCTTTAATTGAGTAAAAGGATGCTAAGAATGATTATACATATTACCGAATCATTCTATAACGAAAAAAAAAAAAAGTTCTTTTTGGTTTTTTAATTAAAAAAGGTACAAGAAAACGAAGGGAACTAAAATAGAGTCCTATTTTTCAAAATAGAAAATTATTTTTTAAGAAAGGTCCAACTCGTCCTAAGGCTATCGGTTTTATGATTTTCATATTAGCATGCATATACGGTATTGGGTAAATTTAACAATACTGATTAACCAATAAAAAACCTGAATCATTTCGACAAATTTTTTTTTTTATATTTTTTTATATCAAATGGGTCAAACCTCTTTTGAATCTTAACTGATTTAAAATTCAATTCTTGAACTTTAAATTTAATTTTTGATATTCTTGAATTTTTAATTTTTTGAGATTTATTTTATTCTTTAATTTTTATTTATTTATCCAAAAAACAAAAATTACTTAAATAACACCATAATTGAAATCATTAAGTGAGATTTATACTCTTCAAAAAATTTAAGATCATTTTGGATTATTATTTTTTATTTTCTATATATTTTTCTGTTAAAAAAATAAACAAATATACTTTTTGATTTTGAAAAATTTTGGGATTTGTCTGAAAAATAGATTGGATTTTTTCAACATCCGTACAAAATTTCAACTCAAAATACCAAGAATTGAATTTTTTTTAGAGAAGAGAGTGATAGCTGAAAATTATTAGATAAACTAAATCCTAAAAAAATTAAAAATTAAGAGATTTCAAAAATAAAATTTAAAATTTTAATTTTAAATGAATTACAATTCAAAAACATATTTAAATCATTTGGCCAATTTTTTATCCATAAAATACTATGTCCCATAACCAAAATGATAGAAGAGCAAGATATTATAGGTTAGATGTGGAGAAACATAATAAGTAGAGTAAATTATAAATTAATCGTTTTAATTTTGAGAAATAAATAAATTATTTTTTATTTTAAAAATTAATTATTTAGTTAGTATTGACTATATATATTATTTTCTCATCAATCTTTCTATAATATCTATTTATTTTTCATTTTTATGTTTTTAAAATAAAAAAACATAAAATTCATGAAAAGAACTAAATAATTAATTTTTAAAATATAAAGGACTAATTAATTCATTTCTCAAAATTAAAATGATTAATTTATAATTTACCAGTCCATGATTTGCATAAATTGACCAATTTTCCATGAGTATTTTTACTTCTTTTTTTGTATGAGAGTAAATTACTATAAACTCTGAGAGTCATCAAAAAAATTATAGTTCCATTTAAAATTTTGAAAATATAAAACCCTTCTAGAAGGAATATGTACAGTAATTTCTTAAATGTAGGGAAGGTTTTTATCATATTTTTAAATTTTTAGCAAATGTCATGTCATGATGCTTTAAAAGATGAGTATAATTTACCTATGTATTAAAAATAACTTTATCCAAGAGAATTAGTTTGAATAAAAGGGACTTTTATCATTTAAATAAGTGGTTTTGGATTCTAATTCTTATATTTGTAGAATTTTTTTTAAAATAATTATGTTTATTTTATATATTTCATCGAAAAACAAGAGATTATTCGAGAATTTTGTGTTTTAAATACTTTTAAGGATAAAAAAAAAACTTCGTATTTGTTTTTCAAAAAAAAAAAAAAAAAAACAGAGGGCAGTATTGCAGTAATTGCGAGAAAAAGAGAAGGAAAGAATGTGAGGTCGGTGGCTATAGTGTAGCCTAAAAAAATTTGTGGCTGGAGAGTGGAGAGATAGGGTGTTCATCAATGAATAACTACCTACCTATACGTTTTAAGGAAGGGTTATTTGTCAAACTCACTAACTCAAAAAATAAAAAGAAAAATTATAAAAAAATATGAATTGAGGAGAGAGGGAGAGAGTAGGGTCGGGTATGTAGGGGACCCTGGAGTGAATTCTTCAAGGACCAGCATTTAAGGGCTGTGTTTTTCTGTGGTTTCTTTTGTCACACACACGAACCTGTAAGAAAAAAAAAGTCCCTGTGCTTTCTTGACAGTTTCACTGCACAAAATTATATATGTATATATAGATCAGATATGTAAGAAAGAGGGAAAGAGGGAAAGGGTTGTTAGAATTGATCATTAGCGTCATCATGATCGTCATTATCAACAAGAAAACTAAAAAAATGAGCAAGAAAAAGCAGAAAGAAAGAAGATGGATTCATGATGGATTGTATTGGATAGGCTGATAAAAGGCAAGAAGAGAAGAAAAAGACACTTATTTTATTTATTTGTCGTGTCTTTTTTATACGTTGATTGAGATGTTTTTCTTTTTCCACAGCTTAATTTTCAACACTGGTTTCATACCGAAAAGTCTTTAGCCCTCCTCCTCAGACCTCAAGCAAGTAGCTAGCAGTAGCATTATAAATATTTTGAAAAAGAAATGTGGGGATTGGACATATGGATTAGAAAAATAGAATAAGAGTTAGAAAATTTGGAGATAGGGTTGATAGAGAGGTCTCTGCTAGCTAGTAATCCATTTAACATTCCTCTATGATCAATCACATTTTAGAGAGAGAAAGAGAAAGAGAAAGAGACCCCACGAGTGGGGCACTACTACTGCAATCTTACTGGCCCAGCTATACTGATTCTTTTCAAGCTTTATTGGCTCTCCTCTCACCTACTCCTCCTCTCCATCTCTCTCTTTGTAGAGGGACAGCAGTCAATCACAAGGAAGAAAAGAAGATCCCCACGCACTACCAGACTATCAGTGCTGTGCTGTGCTTTGTGTAGCGAGAGAGAGAAAAGAGAAAAGAGAGAGAGAGAGAGAAGATATCTCAATTCACAAGACTTTGAAGAAAATCTACAAGGTCTTTCTTTTATTTACTTATTTTTTGGGTTGTGTTGTGTTGTGTGCGTTTCTTTTTTTTTTTTTTTTTCCCATCTTATTTTTGTTTTCAGTAGTACTGGTGTGTGATTTGAAGGAAGAAGAAAATAGGAGATAGGAAATAAAATGGGATTCGATCAATTGTTAAAAAAAGTGTCGGCTTTGTGAAGAAGAAGAAGAAGTTGCTGAAGAATTATTTGGTTGGAAGTTGAAACCACCCCAGATGGAACTAATGGAGTCACAAAGAAATGCTGCAAACCAACAAAGCACCATTAGTGCCTCCAAAGATCACCATGGCCAAAAACAAGAATCAGTAGCAGCTTCACTGCAATTAGTCCCTCTTGAAAGTCAATCATCACTTCAACAACAACAACAACAACACGGGTCTACTACTGCTACTACACCAACTAGTCAGGGCCCATTCATGGGCTCCATATCCAGCCAAATTGGAATCCATCCTTCCACTTCAACTTCCAACTCTGCTGTCTCAAAGTCCGTCACAAAAAGGCCCTCAAAAGATCGGCATACCAAGGTAGACGGTCGCGGCCGACGCATCCGGATGCCAGCCTTGTGTGCTGCACGGGTGTTTCAGCTCACAAGAGAATTAGGCCATAAATCTGATGGAGAAACCATTGAGTGGTTACTACAGCAAGCTGAACCTGCCATAATAGCTACTACTGGTACTGGTACAATTCCTGCCAATTTCTCAACTTTGAATGTTTCATTACGGAGCAGTGGCGCTACTATTTCAGCTCCTGCATCAAAATCAGCTCCTCTTTCTTTTCATAGTGGATTAGCTTTCTATGATGCTAATAATGCCAACGATACTCGAAGAGCTATGGCTTCTAACCCTCAAATGTTAGGATTCCACCATCAGTTGTATCCTCAAAATCTTGTTTCTGATGATAATTACATGAGGAAGACTTTTCGAGAAGATCTTTTTAAGGAAACCACACAGCAACAAAACACGGAAACAATTGAAGCTAGTAATTCTGCTAAATCGAGAACTGGAGTTCAAGATCAAGAAACAGCTGGTTCTATTAGGCCAGCAACAAACATGCTGCCAACTCCAATGTGGGCAGTTGCGCCGGCCACTACCACCAATGGTGGAAATACATTCTGGATGTTACCGGTAGGAGGTGGTGCGAACACAACAGCTGCAGTTCCAGAACCCCAGATGTGGACCTTTCCTGCGGCAGCAGCAGGAATGACATCAATGCAAAGAGTGAATTTTGGTGGCGGTGGCCGCGTTTCAAGTCCGGTTCAACTTGGGTCCATGATAGTGCAGCAGCAAGCGGGAGCTAATCAGCAACTTGGATTAGGTGTATCAGATAGTAACATGGGGATGATATTGGGCGGTTTGAATGCTTATAGCAGTAGTAGGGTTGGCTTGGGCATGAACTTAGAGCAACATAATCAAGACAATCAGCCACAAGGCAGTGACAGTGGAGATGAAAACCCTAATGATTCTCAATAATATTGTTAAATGAACAAGTTTTTTTAAGTCTAAATTCGGTTATGTTTGCGACTTTTTTTTTTTTTTGCTTTAATTGGTATGGCCTTTTAGCTGTCGTTTTTGAGCAAAAATATTTGGGTTTCTGTTTTGATTTTCGCTTTGTAATTGTAGAGTTACTTCTTTTCTTTTTGGAAGCAGCCATTGTTGATTGTTAGCCATGTTTGTTCATGTGAAAGAAATGGACTTCTACGCATAACTTGGCGTAAAAAATGCTTTCATACTTCATTTTGTGCAACAACATATGGATCCAGTGGCCACTCTCCTGTCATTCTGAGAAGTTTCAAGTTTGAATCAAGAACTGAACTTGGCTCCCAAAGGGCCTGAAGGTCTCATTTCCCTACCAAGATCTGCCCAAAGTTTTCGAGTTTTCGTGTTCTTTCGTAAAAGAGAGATTTTGGTGGGTGAAAGGTAAGAAATTAATATTTTTTTTCTCAGAAAAAACAACTTATATTATTATTATTATTCATCTTCTTTCTTCATTTTCTGAATTATTTTTTTTAGAATTATAATTTATTACAGACATGCAAGGATGCAAGTTTCTGTGTGATCTCATTTTCCTGTGCTAATAAGTCTTATCGATTCCTTTTCTTTTTTGACAGTAAATAAATAAAAACAAAGGTTAAAGACACTGATGACAATTACGTTCCTAAATACAACACATTAAAAAAAAAAAAAAAGGGCCATAACAACTTGCTATTTCTGCAACCATATTTGTCCCAATGTCTGCAGTCCTATCATGATCTGTACAAAGAAATATTTTATGGGATGAATCTATCTGCTGAAATCTGAATAGTTTATATTTTAAGTTTTTGGTTTTTGTCAAGATCAGCAAATAATGGACCAATATTATAAAAGGGAAATGAAAAAACAACAAGAAATCAGCATAACTAAAAGAGGTTAGAGAGAATAATTTAAGTATCTGAAAAATGGGATTCTCTTACCGCATTATATTCTCTCGTGGAAATAGGGAAGTTGTAAAATGAAAGAGTGGAAGATGGAGGATGGCCTTGCCAGTTTCCACATGCCCGTTCATTAATGGATTAGGAGGATCCACTTTTTCCCTTTTTTTTTTTTGGATTAGGGTTTGCTTGTTTGTCCAGTGTAAACATAAAAGCAAATGGTAGAGAGCAAATAATGAGGAATCTGGTCGTCTACCTTTTGTCTTTCTCATGACATCTAGTTTTGGCCAAACAAGCTCTTCACTCTTTTATCCTCCATTTGGGTTTTTCATTTTTAGATTTTTCCTTTGCCAGGTAACTTTTGAATGATTATCGAACGTGACTGCATTTTAAATTGAGTTTTTAAATTCAAATTTGACAAGGTAAAATCAGGGTCCAATGAGTACGATCTCCAATTAATTGGAATCTGAAGAGAGATCATGAGATTTTTTTTTTTTTTTTTTTTTTTTAGTAAATACACCAATTCAGAGATATAAAACGCTTAATATCAATATTGACTGGAATGTTGTTGGTTTTGGTAAAAAAACCACAACAACAAATTGCCAAACGAAAAAAAAAAAAAACCATTTTAGTTTTTTTATAAACCAAGGATTAAATTATAAATTAGTCCTTATTTTGAAAAATGAACTAATTAGTCCTTCTCATTTCAAAAACTAATAATTTAGTCCTTCAAAATTAAGATTTTTTTTTCCGGATATATCAAATTAATACTTAATACCTAAAGTACCTTTTAATATAAATACCCATCCATAAAAATATGTTTTGGTGAGAAGAGAGAAATGGAGTGGAGATTAATAAAATGAGAAGTGAAGATTTAAGGAGAGAAGATTTGAGGAGAGAAATGAGAATATATTTTTTTGTTTGAGGAGAGATAATTAAATGGAAGAGATGTGCCTGTGTGTGAAAGAGAGAAATAATGCACACAAAAAAAAAAATGCAATTTGAGAACAAAAAATACTACAATAAGAACACATCATCAACACTCTAACGAAAAATGAAGAAAAGATTAAGTTATTGATGAAATTAAAACATAAAAATCTAAATAAATAATTTCTCGAATAAGAGATACTAGTTTATAATTTACTCTAAACAAAAAAAAAAAAGGAGGAAATAAAAAAAACAATACACATAATCATAACAATCTATATAAATGTTTAAATGGGTTAATAACAACAAGAGTTAATTACATTTTTTTGTGTACACGATTGTTAAATTTTTTTTATTTGAGTATACCAAATTGATTTTTTTTTAAAATGGTTTTATTAACTCTCGTTGATTCTATGATGACATGGCCATTAATCACATGTGACATTGTTACGTAAGCCCACAAGTCTAACGATGGTATGAATTTGTGAGTTTTTTTTTTACAAGTAGTGAGGTATTTTTGGAATAGTTTTTATATCAATCGAGACTCGGTCTACCACTCGTAGGCTATACAATTACTAGAATACATTTGACTTTTGGTCAACTAATAGGTCAGCTTTTAAACTAAATTAGTTTAAATTTGGTATCACTAGGAGATAATTATGGTTAATTATTTATAAATAGTGAAAGTGAATCTTGATTTTTTTCAAACTAAAATAATTCCCTTACTCGTTAGACCGTATGTCTTAGTAGTAGTTTGTGAGTTTATTACATATTTAGTGCACAAACTTATCAATTTTTTTCTTTTTGAATGGTCCCATTAACTCTATGCTAATGTATTTGTTAACCGCATATGTAGCACCATTATGTAAGCTCCTTATTTAGACACATAGCAATCGAAAAAAAAAATGAAAAAAAAGTAAATTAACAAAAATAAAAATTCGAGTTCCAAAATTAGTTTCCTTATGGGTTTGGTTCCTTTGGTTTCTTTTTGGATCTCTATTCTATTGAGTTTGTGGATGGCTTTATTGAGACGAGTAGTGATGAAAAAGATTACCTTGTTGGGCTAACTAGCCAAATAACTCACTCCATTATTGAAGATGATTTTAAGAGAAACGACCTCCTTATTAGCATAAAAAAAAAAAAAAAACTAAGTTATTTTTCCCTTCATTTGAAGTAGTACAAGCCTACTCTAGTTTTATTGATTATGATTCTTTAGACTAAATTTCAAGCCTTGGTATTGTTTGATTTGCGGGATTGGGTTGTGTCTAGATTGCCTCAATCAATACTATGTGCATCTAGAAGCGAATGCGGTTGTAGACAAGGGTCAAGTCATAAAAGCCCACATGTATTTTCACCATTGAGAACTTGGGATCTTTTGTATGCAATTATAGAAGTAGTGAGGATAAGAATGAATGACGAATGAGGGTTTGGCCTTAACAACCAAAGTAGATGACTATTGCATCCACCAAGAAAATCCTCTCCGATCTCTACTTTGTTACAAAAATCCCAACTCTAATTAATAAGGAAGATGGATTTTTACCATTAGGAACTTGAGATAAGAAAACCCTCTCCAATCTCTTCTTTGTTGAAAAATCTCAACTTTGATGTTTGGTCTCCACCAAAAGCAACAATACTTTCTTACGAAGTTGCAAACATTGTCTTATTATACTTTTTTTTTGTTTCACATCTTGTAAAAGAGAAGAGAAGATTCTTTTTTGTTGATTACTAATTGTAGCTGTGTTTTGTTTGTTTTATATTCAAGTTTCAACAACCGAAAGTACAATAATGAATGATTGACAAACAACATTAACAACGAAAATATAGAAAGGGCAAAACAACAATAAGGGGATTGGAGTGTTGTTTCTCTTAAATTTTTTTCTTTCATTTTTAATTTTATTAAGTTAATGAACTCATGTTTTTTTTTAATTTTTTTTAGTTGCCACATGTTTGATTAAAGAGTCGATATGACGAGTGTTACATGTGTAGTTAACAAATGCATCAATATAGAGTAAAAAGCCACTCAAATAGAAATATAATTATAAATTGGTATACTTAGATAATAAAGAGTAAATTTTATATATTTAAATAAAAAAATAACAAATTATACACCAAATATGTAATTGTTAAAGAAGATAATTCTTTTTATTTTTTTTGGTTGTAGTGTATCCGACGATGAGACCCGGATGGCGGTGTCATATGTTTAGTTAATAGTTTGTTGAGAACTTAGGATCTTCTATATGCCGTTGTAGAAGTAATTAAGATAAGAATGAACAATGAATAAGGGTTTAGCTTTAATGACCAAAGTAGAGGACTATTAGGTCCACCAAGAAACCCTCTCAAATCTACTGCTCTCGTCGAAAAATCCCAACTCTAATTATTAAGGATGATGACTTTTCACCATAAAGAACTTGAGATCTTCTATATGTGCCTACATGAATAGTGAGCATGAGAATGAACAAGTAAAAAAAGGTTTGGCTTTAACAACAATAGAGACGTATTAGACAAAGAGAATAGACGATCTTTTTTTATTGATTACTAATTGTAGTTGTGTTTTGTTTGTTTTATATTCAAGTTTCAACAACCGAAAGTACAAAAATGAATGATCCAACAACAACAATAGATTTTGGAGAGGGCAAAGCAACAATAAGAGGATTGGAGTATTGTTTCCCTTAAACTTTTTCTTTCATTTTTTTTTTTGAGTTAGTTTACTTTTTTTTAATGTTTTTTTTTGTTGTCACTTGTTTGACCAAATGGCCCATATGATAGGTTACATATGCGGTTAACGGACATATTAATATAGAGTACAAAACCACTTAAATAGAAAAAATAATTACAAATCGATATACTCAAATAACAAAGAGTAAAGTTTATACACTCAAATGCAAAACAAAATAGAGAGTTTGTACATCAAATATGTAATTGTTGAAGAAGATAATTTTTTTCCTAATTGTCACATATCTAACAATAAGACCTACATGATAGTGCCGTATGTGTAGCTAATAGTCGCATTAGTATAGAGCTAATTGAACCAATCAAATAGAAAAAAAAATTACAATTTGGTATCTTTCGGATAGAAAAAATTAAAGTCGACCCATTAAAAAAAACAACATTGTATACCAAAAATATAATTAACTTATAACAATAATTTTATGTTATCCGAGATAATAGATAATAAGATTTCTCACTAGTCTAACATTTGACAATCACCAAAGAACTTGTAAATCAATGGTAGTGGTCTCTTACAACAAGAGATCACATGTTCAAATTCTAGTAAACCAATTCTTCTATAAGTTTTGAATGTGTGAGTTAAAAAAAAAAAAAAACTAAGAAAAAAACACATGACAATCCCTCAAATCAATCATTGTGTATAACATTTATTATTTTACAAATATATTGAAAATCCAAATTAGTATAAATTGTCTTATAGACAAAAGATTGTATGGTAAAATAGTAGATTGTATGTGATTAAAAAAAATAAAAAACAATTAATGAGATTGTCATGTACTTGTTATGAGGAGTTCTTGTTACCATAGGTCGACAAAGTTTTTATTTTTATTTTTATTTTTGTGTGTTAAATACTTCTTAATACATCAAAAAAGAATTACTTATTAATAAACTTCAAATGGTAGGTATAATTTGGAACCTCATCAACACTTTTCAATGCTATCTCGTGATCACCACAAAACAGAAGGTCTCTTCCTCGATACATGGACTTTGGAAAGGTGATAACTACACTCTAAAGTTTGGAATGTTATTAAAAAAACTAAAAGAAGTGCATGTGATACTATTCATTCACTGTAGCTCTAGACTCATTGTCCCTATTCATCAATTTTTTGTTACTTTTTGGTCCCTCTTTCTTTAAGAGATGAATTAATTTGTCCCTTTGGTTTTCTTTTCTTTTTTTAAAGGGTCAGATTGTCATTTTCGGCTGACCTCCTTTTTTTTTTTTTTCTTTTTTTGAAGGGTCTAGTCTGTCATTCATTTTTTTTTCCGAATCGGCCTCCTTTTTAAAAAAAAAAACAAAAAAGGATTGGGCCGTCATTCACTATAGTCGTACCATTTTTTTTTCCTTTTTCCCCTTTTTTAAAGAAAAAAATAATTAGTTAAAAAATGCATAAGTCTTAATTGATTATATATATTAGAGTTTTTTGAAGCCAATTTTATAGTAGTTTTTATTTAAACCTATTTACTTCGATAGATTCCATGCAATTTAAGTGAGTTTATATATATATTCTTATGAGTGGGAGAGAGAGCTAAAAGTGTATTTTTGATAATTTGACTTGATTTTTTTAAAAAATGATAATCGGTTAAAAAATTAATTCGCTCTATTTTCTTAAAAAATTAATAATTATTTAAAAAATTCACAAATTTTATTTGATTATATATATATATATAATCATAATTTTTCGAAACAAATTTTATAATAGTTTTTATTTAAATCTATTTACTTCGATATATTCCATGTGATTTAGGTGAGATTTTTTTATATTTATTTATTTATTTTATATACTCTAAATTTGTCAAGTACGATATATATAGTTTTGTTAGAAATTAATTACATCCGCACACATAACATCAATTATTTATTTTTTTATTTTCTAAAATCTATATTTTTAAATAAAATAATTTAATTAATGTTTTGAAACGACATCCGAATTATTCAAATATAAAATTTTTATATTAATATTATAAATTATTTTGTTAATGAATATATACATATATCAAATAAGTTCGCTTAATATATAGATTCTATTTACATTAATGTTCGAAACAAAATATCTACTTGCATCATATCAAATAAAAAGTTAACTCTATGTAGATAATGGTTATTTGATCGCAACGTAGCGTGAGAATTATAAATTATATATATAAAAAAAAACTAAAAGAAGCTGGGGGTGAGACTGTTCATGCTACATCCCCCTTTTTTTCTCGCCTTGCCTCTTTTTTTTTCTTTTTCTTTTTTCTTAAAGGCTTGAACTGTTGAATTGGTCCCATTATTGTAGCTATTTTTTTCCGGCTAGCATCCCCTTTTTTTCTTTTTTTCTTTTTCCTTCTTTTTAATGGGTTGAGTCGCTTGAGATTTAGTTTGTCCTTTTTTTTTTAATTTATTAATATATTTTTTTTATATATGACTTTTGAAATAAAATTTTAGAACATGAATTTTTTATCTTTTAAGATATATTATTATAATTTATACGATTGATTATTTTTATTAATTTTATATGAAAATGGTGTTATTGCTTATATAAATTCTAATGAGAGAGACAACTAAAGCTATGTTTTAAATAATTTTACTTTATTTTTTTTAAATAATCGGTTAAAAAAATAATTTGACTTGTTTTTTTTTTCAAAAAATTAATAATTAGTTAAAAAAATTTACATTTTTATTTGGTTATATATATATATATATATATCAATTTTATAGTAGTTTTTATTTAAATCTATTCACTTCGACATATTTTATATAATTTAAGTGAGTTTTTTTTTATATTTTTTTATTTAGTTTATATACTCCGAGTCCGCTAAGTACGATACACACACACACACACCAACCGGACGTGACCTTACTCTTTTTTTTTCTTCCATAATTTATTTTATATTTTCTAAAGTCCGGGCACCAATCTCATGATAGAAAAAAAAAAGTTGGTTAATTATTTTAAATCTTGATGTGTTTTAGGATTAGATCATCGAAAGGCCAAAGAAAATCCGTAAAAGAATATACCTATTGTCATAGCATAATTGGATCTCCAACAAATTGTACAAGTTAAGCGGTCATATATAATTGGTCCCTTCACTGGGAAAGAAAATATATATATTATTGATCCCTTTAATATCTACGAATCAATATTAATTATATCTTTGACATTGATGTTAACATACATATCCGATTATTTTATTCTTATTGTTTAAAATTTATTTCTTCAATTATTTGTTTCTTATTAAAATTCTCATTAAATTATATATTTTTTAATTTTTTATATAATTTTATTTGTTAATAAATTTGGTTTTTTAATATATGAATTTTGGAATAAAATTTTAGAATGTCAATTTTTTATTTTTTAAAATATATTATTATAATATATACAATAAATTATTTTTACATTTTTAAATGTGTTTATATATATATATATATATATATATATATAGAGAGAGAGAGAGAGAGAGAGAGAGTGTGTGTGTGTGTTTTAGATAGTTTAGCTCAATCTTGTTTTAAAATAATAATGTGTTCAAAAAATTTACAAGTTTTATTTTTTTTATATGTATTTATTCAGAATTTATCGAATCAATTTTGTTGTAATTTTTATTTTAATCTATTGATTTCAATATATTTGAACAATTTAGATTGTTTTTTTTTTTATATATTTTTCTATATACTTTGAATCGTTGTATGTGTGTGTGTGTATATATATCATTAGTTTTATTAGAAATTAACTATATATAGATTCGATTTATATTAGTCATTAAAAATAAAACTTTCTACTCGCATTACACCATACAAATCGTTAATTTTATGCATATAGTGGTTGTTTGTCCGTGACTTAACGTAAGTATCTAACTAATACTCATTAAAAATGATTGAGATTCAAACTAGTTACTTTATGGTTAGAAACTTACAATCTCATCACCCAAAAAAAAAAAAAATTAGATTCTTAAGTTAGTTATGACACCAAAACAAAAAATCTCTTCGTCGATACATGGATTATAAGATCAAAACTAGACTCTAGAGTTTAGAATTTGCTCACTAAAAATAATCAAAATTCAGACTAGTTGCTCTGCTGTACTTTTTTTTTTTTTTGGTTAAATTATTCTTGGAGTATCCCAACCTAAGAATCTATATTAATTCTTCCATGTTTGGCCAAACGCAAAATTAAAAGGCTTTTTTACTGTCTTTTTCTGGGTAAGGAATTTAAAGCTCTGATGTGACATAAATATATGTCTGGTCGAAAGCACAGTAGATAGTAGTAGTAAGGTAAAACTAATGGAAGGAAGAGCTTATAAATGACTCACGAACTATATTAATTTTTTTTTTTTTATCAAACAATACCAAAAGAGCTCGCAAACTATGATTATCATTAATTTAAGAGTTTAAATACACACATTAATTTCTAACCCAACATCATGTATGATATTTAAAATTCGCACCTAACATTTAATTCTTTATTACATGTTGCAATATTATCTGCATACATTTCTTTTGAAAGAGATATTGCATTATTTCTTTTCATTGATAGGGATGTTGCGTGACTTAAATTTTCTTTTACATGATAATTAATGTAGTCCACTAGCAGACAGGAGCATGATTAAACCGGACTCGGGCTCCTTGCAATTATTGACCATAGTTAGCACCCAAGATGCTCCTTAGCTAGGCTTATCCAAAAGAACATGATGACAGCCGTCATATCTCGAATCTTCTTAATTTTTATTATCCTTCTACTGATTTGCACTATTAGGTTCCTAATTCCCTCTCCCAAAAAAGCAAAATGGATATCTTAAAGCACCTTCACCTTTGTTCGAATGGAAAAAAAAAAAAGAAAAAAGAAAAAAAGGCACCTAACCTTTTCATGTATAGACCATATGGTCACCTTTACCTTGTAATTACTTTATGCAACAAATAAAAAAGAGAAGTGCTAAATCGACAGCTCCTAGAGACAATAGATAAAGACGAATTCGTTGCCATCGAAGACAGTTGTCAATAAGCACTTCCACAAAAGAGGGGAAAAAACATATCTTTACCTCATCATGCACACACTTCTTTGTTTCACTGTCCAAAGATCAAATCAATCTTAAAGCTAGTAGAAGGCTTGAATCCCCGTACGTAGTTAAACAGGAACAGATCCCCTTAACCAGCACAAACATGGATTGATATTCAGACATGGAAATGGAGTCTCAAGTGAAGTCTAGCTAGACCGATGTTTGAATTTGGATTCGTTCACTGAGGAACTTCCATGAAACAAAAACTGTGAATTAAAAAAACCAAAATATTAGAATCTTGTAATCAATCACCTCATGATAAAACTCTGTAAACACATGCCTGCACTTCATTTTGCGACCCATGCCGCTCTGCTTTTTTCTTTCATGCCAAGTTCAATCACACAGAAGGACAGGATATATAAAAACATCTAAAGTTTATGGAAAGTGTGCGTTCGGGCGTAAAATTCCTTGAGGCAAAAAGTTAAGGCTAAGTTGAGGTGTGCCTGAACACCAGTTCATCTCATCACAACAACAACAAAACATCAAGTTCTCAAGTATTCATCTTAAGCATGATAACAAAGCAACGTATAAGACAGTTTGAAGGAATTGGTTTTCCCTGTGGAAGGATATTATTATGAGGTGCAGCATTAAATACCTATTTCCAAGATTAAAGAGTGAAAAACAAACTGAGCATATAACAAAGAACAGCCCAAATTGGAAAACTGTCAAACTTGAACCAATGTCAACAATCCACAAAACAAGTGCTACAAACTTGTTCCGTTATTGCAAAAGAAGCTCTGGATTATGAATTAGCCAGAAGCAGTCTTTTTCTGCTGGAAAATGACAGCATATACAGGAACGGCGACTCCGATGCTGAAGGCAGTGAAGACAGCAAGGGACATTTTGATTGGCTGATACTTCATCCTGTCTAAATTGTACATGTGCTTTGCATGCAAATAGTATGGTTCGTCATGGCCATGTGCATGACCTCCACCCATCCTCTTCACCCCTGTTGAGTGGATACCTCTATTCACTGTCACAAGACACGAAAAATTGCTTCTTCTGTTAATTCAGTCCTAGTACCATAAGATTAAACCTGATATAAACCAACCACAAATAGGCTGGGAGCAAAAGCAGTTGTGAAAGAATAAATTTCTCAATAAGTTTCTTTCAATATTTCAAAATGACTTTGGGAGAGAGGGAAAGGGAAAATGGAGGGAATAGACAAGATGCAGTATTTTTTTTCAAAACAAGAAGCTGCTTTGAGAGATCAAAGTATGTACAAGAACTAACATGGAAGTTCAACAAGATGTTTGCCAAAATCCATAATCAAAGATTCAAAACTATCAAACAGAAACTTCAGCATGTCCATTCCAAAGATGGAGAAATGGTCAATAAGTGCACGAACACTTAAGTATTACAACTCAATCATGTCTTCCAGCACTCTTTCATGGTAGTTTCTAAAAATCTATAAAAAAAACCTAACCAAAAGGGCATGGCAATGTTATCTGCGGACGTAGATGCCTGCAAACTGACGTGGCATCCGTGTTAACGACATTCATTAATATTTCTTCCATGTCTTCCACTTAGCTGATTTTGATCAGAAACAAAGAGTAGAGCAACCAAAAAAAAAAAAAAACAGAGAGGGAAACTGAAAAATAGGGGGGAAATAAAACCTTGTTGGCAAAAGGGAGGGAATTGTGGATGCTGCACCTCCACTTAATTGCTAAAAGGCATTACGGTCACTAAATCTACCTTTATAGCAAAACGAATCCAACAAACCATTTCTTCACATCTGGCAAAAACCCATTTCTCGCTATCTTGTCAAAGACCAACAACTTCCAATCATCATCTTTGCATAAAACAACAACAAAGAAAATGAAGTTTATCTAGAACCTCATAGTTCACACACCCGTCAACAGCATCCATAATCCCATGCAATCTTAACCTGGGATGGGATAGGATTTGATAGATTTGGCAATAGCAAAGATGTTTGGCAGATAGGTTTCGTTGCAAGAATGAAATGCTATACAATGGATTTACATGTATTTTATTTATCAACTAAACAATGAAAATAAGTTGAATTTACTGAATCATGCTGAAAGCTATAGCTTTCTTATTACAGATACCTAATAATTGAAAGAAAGGATCCTTTATTTCCAAGAAAACAAGATCTAAGTGAAAATAAACATAGATACCACAGAAAGGAGCAAAATCATAATTTTTAATTTGTTTTATTGCACAAATTAATATAAAAAAATTATAAACTAATATTAAGACCAATCAAGCATTTGGAAATTGCAACCATGCTTCCATAATAACATGCATTTATTGTTCAACAATTGGTATATATTTGACCTATATAATCATTACTATAGTCTCTAAATTGTTTTTTTTTTTTTTTTGGTGTTTGATTTTGTGGTGGTGGTGGTGGTGGTGGTGTGTGTGTGTGTGTGTGTGTGTGTGTGGGGGGGGGGGGGTGGTGGTGGTGGTGGTGGTGGGGGCTGTTCATTAAAAGCAATACCATGTCCATGTGGTGAAACACAGCTTGCCAAACAGCTAGTATTCGTACAACGAAAACCAACCCTAAACTATAGCTCGTTTTCATACAATAAATATTGCCTTATACTTGCCATTACGTTTCATTGCAGACTAAAAGGATTGTCAAACAGCTCAATTAGAATCTTAACACATTTGCAATGATAACTCTTAGTACAACATTTTGAACGACGTAATAACCAAAAAATAGGGCAAGAAACAAATAGCTAATCCAAGTTTGCGGGGCACAATAAATACACTTTATCCGCAATTTCTAGTCTTTTCCACCATGTATAGCAAAAACAACAAAAAGCTTGGACAGCAAAAAAAAAAAAAAAAAAAAAAAACGATTACAAACAATACCAACTAAACATTAATACTCTTAAGAAATTATCAACACGAAACCCACAATTTCACTTCAAACCAGATCATTACCACAAAACAGAAACCCTAATAAAAGACACCAAACCAATCATAATAAAGACACAAAAACACACAATAAAACACAATGAAAGCTGGCATCAGATCTAAAAATTCAATCAAAATCATAGCATGACCCTCCATTTCTACCCTAAAACAAAAACCCAAAACCCAGAAATCCCAATTTCCACTACCTTTTCTCACTTTCTGAGCAACCATGACCACAAGAAATATTATTTTTCTGATAAATAATAAACGGTTCAATTAGGATTGGAGCCTTTGAAAAGAAGAGAGTTACTAACCTGACTTAGAAAGAAGCGATTCGGAAGCAGTAAATAGCTTGGAGGCGGATCTAAGACCATTGTTCAACGCCATCTCTGCTGTTCTACCTGAAAAAATGGAACAAAAACGCTCTCACTTTTGTTTTTCAGTTTTTTCTCTTCCCTTTGTTGCATAAAATATGTGAGCGATGATGGATGGGCTTTAGGGTTGTAAGGTTTTGTGGGCTGGCTTTGGAGACTATGTCTTGGCCCAATTCTACCAACTATTTCTATTTTTTAGCATCCTGTTAAATTCATTAATTAAATTTTTATTTTTATTATTTTTTAATACAATTATCAATATACTCTTCATTCATGATTGATAGTCATTATATAACACATATAAATAGAGGAAATATTGATAATTTTTTGAAAAAAATCGATAGAAATAAAAATTTGGTGGCTAAATTTAACAGTAATCTTTCTTTTATTTTTATTTTCTTTTCTCCTATTAAGTTGAGAATAATCACTTCTTCTTCTTCTTTTTTTTTTTTTTTTTTTTTTTTCCTTTTATTTATTTATTTATTTATGCTGTCCCACTTAAACTAAAAACTTTTGAAGTTTTGCCGCCAATCCCATCTTCTCCCTCACGCTTTCCCTCTCAAAGGGTTTCTCTGCCTTTTCCCCTCTCAATCTCTCTCCCAAAAAACACAGATTTTGGTGAATTTGAAAATGAGCTCAACAGTTCCTCTCCAAATCATCGACGACAATGACGATGATGTAACTTCAATTCCATTTCCTTAAAAACCCCTATGCATACATTCAGTTTCTGTCTCTAACTTCATTTTTCCTTTTGTTTCTCTCTGTTTTTTTTTTTTTTTTTTTTTTTTACAGGAATTTGATTGGGAGGCAGCAGTGAGAGAAATCGATGTCGCATGTGAAAGAGCAAAAAACCCATCATCATCATCATCATCAACTGCAAATAATCATGCTCCATCTTCTTCCAGTTTTACCCCTCCCGTTAATGTTAATAATTCTTATTATTCAACCAAAAAGACTGGGACTTGTAAGCAATCAACGCTCGATAAGTTTATTGGGAAAGTGGGCCATGTTAATCTGCCCGTGAATCGGACGTTTGAGGTTCGTCATCTGCAGGATAATGGCATCAACGGTGATAACAGGCCGAGTTGCATTGAGATTGATGCTGAGGCAGCTAAAACTTGGATCTACCCAGGTTTTTTTCTTCACATTTTCTCTGTTAATGTTCCTTTTATTAATTTGGGGGTTTTAGGCTAAGGTTTTAGTGAAATTGGGTTTTGAAGGAATAATTTTATTGTTTCTATGAGAATTTTTTATTTGTTGGGATAAATAGGGTTATTGATTCTTATATCGCAGTCAATGTGCCTCTCCGAGACTATCAATTAGCTATAACAAAGACTGCATTATTTACCAACACATTGGTTGCATTGCCGACGGGGCTCGGAAAGACGCTTATTGCTGCTGTTGTTATGTTTAACTACTTCAGATGGTTTCCGGATGGTAAATCTCTCTACACAAATTCTTCATTTATAATATAAACACATAAATTGTTGGTATATATTGATTTAGTTTTACACTTTGGTTTTCGGCTATTGTGGAGAATGAGGGTAACAGACAATGTGAGATGCTAAAATGAGTAATATGCAGCTTGGTTGTAACTGTCTTCAGGCAGTTTTTTTTTTGAACTGCAGAACTGAGTGGAGGGTTATGGGTTGGGAAAGAAATCTATTAGTGACTGAATTAGTACAATGAGTTAACATAAAAGAAGTTGATGCCGTGGGTGTCCAATGTTTGACACGTATGATGTGTATTCGTATTTCCTTGCAGGTAAAATAGTTTTTGCTGCTCCTTCTCGTCCACTTGTGACGCAACAAATAGAAGCATGCCATAATATTGTGGGAATATCGCAAGTAAGTAAGATGTTAATTTTAGTTTTCAATGGAATGCTTTGCTTATTTATTGGTTTCAGGTGGGAACTTTAGTTTGTCACAATTATTTTAATAAACTGATTGCAGGAATGGACAATTGATATGACAGGTCAGGTATGTCCTTCAAAAAGGGCATGCTTTTGGAAAACTAAACGAGTTTTCTTTGTTACTCCACAAGTGCTGGAAAAGGATATTCAATCTGGTAATATTTTAAGTTACGCCATAATATTTCTACTGGGAAAAAGGTTATACCATAATACATTTTACATGGAAACTTTGTGAACCCAAAATGGTTATGATATGTGAAATTTGTTTGAGTGAATTAGAATTTTGTTGTGGAAGGTGGAAGACTTTGTTGTTTTTTCATACAGAATGTGCGAAAACTTATGTCCTTTGATTTCAAGTTGTCCATGCATTGTATTTCTTTCATTTGTTCCATCAATATTTTCTCACATGGAGCAACTGACAGGCACATGTCTGGCAAAACACTTGGTTTGTTTGGTGATTGACGAGGCTCATCGAGCATCAGGAAATTATTCGTACTGTGTAGCAGTTCGTGAGGTTTGTTACTCTATTTTCTTTTAGTTTTTGTTGTTACTAGCATTAAGTTACTGGTTTGAGATACTAGTTGATAATCTTGTTTTGTAGTTGATGGCCATACCAGTGCAACTGAGAATATTAGCATTGACCGCAACTCCAGGATGTAAGTCACAGTCAACCTAATTGGGTTCAATATAAATGAAGCCATGCCATCTGAAAATTCTTGTGTTAAATGCAAATTGTTCAGCAAAACAGCCTGCTGTCCAGAATATCATTGATAACTTACAGATATCAGCTCTTGAATATCGTAATGAAAGTGATCCTGATGTCAGTCCATATGTTCATGACAGAAAGATTGAATTAATCGAGGTATGGTCTATGATGGCTCTATAAAAATTTCTTGTTGGATAACTGTATTTACCAATGAATTTGACATCTATGAAATGTTACTAGGTTGCATTGGGGAAAGATGCTGTTGATATTAACAAACGGCTAATTGAAGTGATACGTCCATATGTGGCAAGGCTTTCTACTCTTGGACTTCTCCTGAATAGAGACTATCAAACAGTATGACTCGATAAGTTACAAATTCATTCAATTTCCTTGGCAGTGTTAAATCTAGTGTGTTACTGTTTCTGCTTTCCTTCTTTGATAAGTTTGCATACCATAAACCTTTCTTTCAATGTACATTTCAGAGTGTGGTAGCTCCATTATCACTGTTAGGTATCAACTTAAAGAAGTTATAGTAAACTGCATAGGCGAAGGTTTCTCTTTAGGGCCTGCTCGGCCTTTATTAGTTATACTGGTATGGATCTGATAAATTTTGATGTTGACAGTTCCATAATGCAGTTAAAATGCCTAATGATTTCACAAGCCTATGGATGGATTGAATGGAGCAAGATCCTGACAATGTCATACAGGAGGAAATCACATTCTGGATTCTCCCACAAAAGATAAGTGAAAATAATAATAATAATAATAATTAAAGATACGAGGAATGGGGGAGAAATATAGTATCCAATAGGATATACCCAAGACGCTTAGGCCTCAGATGATAGAATGTATCCTCTTTTGCATAAAATTGAGAGCTAAAGGTCTGTAGTGCAATGTTCATTAATGAATGTCTCCTAAAAATGTTGGGTTTTCAAAGATGGACACACAAAGTTAGCAGTAAACACAGTGCTATTTGAACTCTGGATCATCATTCAGCTAAATTTTATCTTAGTTAGCACTCCTCAGTCCTTAAGTTCTTCTGGTCTATCATAATCATCATTTCAAACTTCATCCTTTGGTTGCAATGTGCTGGCTTTTTCATCCTTTGGTCAACCATGCAATCAAAATTTTGTCGATTACTTTCAGTCATTATTTTACTTTATCATATGCACTACTTTTGGAAACACCTTTGTGTAATTAAAAAAACGATAGCATTAATTGGTCCAAGTTTGTACTAACTTTGCGCCCAGACTCCATGAGATGCTTGAGCTTAACCACTTCTTAAGATTGAAATAATGCTGATTATTAAAGAAAGGGTATGTTATGTAGGGCAGCTTTATTAAAGTGGATTTCTACCGGGAGTTGTAGAACTATTAGATTCACACTAATCGGGTTTCTAGGATTCACACCTAGAGGATAGAAAAACCAAATCTTCATGCCCAGGGTTTTCAGGAGTCACACCTAAGGGAGATTGTGTCACACAATCAAAAGCAAATTGCTGGAACTTTAGCCATAAAATTCTGTTCATGATATTGAAAGGCTACATACTTATTTATAGAGTTCTAGTAGTCCAAATCCAATAAGGACATAGATTCCTAAATAAGAAAATACTAAGTCCGTGTAGAATAGGGAAAAACTTAATAATGCTAGTTACTCCTTAGTACTAATAAATTACTAAACACAAAATAAAACCTAGACTTAGACAAATTTCCAGATTTTACAGAAATTTCCTTGTCTACAAAAAGACACAACTTTTACTTCCTTCATTGTCTGCATCAGTATGTTTAAAAGTTACCAGGAATATATAATGTGCTTGGTGAATTGGACTGGATTTGATGACATTAATTAATTTTCCATGAATGGGGGCAGTTAGAGAAAAGGGAAACTTGGCATCTATTTAGAAATGTAGAGTTTCATCTACAAGGTACATTGAGGGGAAAAATACAAATGAACTATTATCCTCTGGTGATGGCACCAAATGTTTTCTGGTTTCAAAATGATTGTATATCTCCAAATGTCATAAAAAACCAGAAAGGTTGCTTTCAAATTTCACTACAGTGAAAGTTCTATTGTTTAGATTCCATAATTCTGTTCCACGCATACTTCTACGTAACTTAGTTTATCTTAAGTAAAAGGTCTCATTATTGACATGCAAACTCAACATGCCATTTGTGTTTTGCTTTGCTCTTCCACTCTAAATGAGTAATACCATGACCAGATATGCTATTTGAATTTTTTTTTTCATGTTGCTGTAATATTTTATTTTTTTATATGTCCTCATGATATTTTAAGCTGCACTGCTATCTACCTTGTTCTGGTCATTACTAAATGTAAACACAACTTCTGGCTATCTTACTTTGGCATCAAAATATGACAGTTAAGCCCTCCTGATCTACTCAACTCGAGAGATAAATTTCGCCGAGCACCTCCTCCAGACCTTCCTGTGAACAGATATGGAGAAATTGAAGGTTGTTTTGGAGGTCTTATTACTCTTTACCACATCCGTAAGCTCCTTTCAAGTCATGGAATAAGACCGGCATATGAGATGCTGGAAGAAAAGCTGAAACAAGGGTATCTTCTCGTGCATTCTCCACTGCAGCACTTCATTGATCATTTAAGTATTAGATTCTGTGCTTTTCATTCGATATGAAACATCATCAAATTGAACTTCATCATCTGATCTTAGCAATCCAAAAGATGGTATCTGTTCCGCTGAATGTTTCAATTGCAAAAGATATGTTGTTTACCTTTTGAAAATTGCCATTTGAGAGGACGCTATCGAGCTTTCTTTTATGGACTTGGAGTTCTTTGAGAACTTGAATGAAAGAGATCTCCTTGCAAAAGATCCTTTAAGATTTAATGTTTTTCTCTAACTGAAAGCCCATATCCTCTGGTGTGAGGTAGAGATGTCCTGTATGATGATTTGACAATGGCAATGGCATTTGATTCAATCATCTGACTTTCACTAAATGGTGCTTAGGCTGATTGGTGAAATTTTTTCTAATGTGAAAATATTTAGTGTCAATACAGTATTAAAGGTCAATTACAGCTTGCCCTTTGTTATCCAGATGGTCTTAAGCTAATCTAACTTGATTGCTGCAGGTCATTTGCAAGACTGATGAGTAAAAATGAAGATATTAGGAAAGTGAAGCTTTTAATGCTGCAAAGCTTGTCTCATGGTGCGCCTAGTCCCAAATTGTCAAAATTGTTGGAAGTACTAGTTGACCATTTCAGTGAGTAACATCCACTTTCTTGAACATAAAGAATGGCAGTTTTGATTTCCATCCCATTCCTTTTTCTCTCTTTACACTTCTGCTTTACAATGTTGAACATCATAGATTGTGTAGAAACGTCAATTTTCAATTGTTATGATGCATGATAGAAGTGGTCTGTAATCAAGTTGGAAAGCTTGTGCTTGGTGGAAAACAGGAACTTTAGGTGTTAGGGGCTAAAATTTGGGTCAAAAGGAATTTAACTATGTTGTTTGATAGTTTGAATTCTGCAAACACTTGCAGAACCTAAATCTGCATGGAAAAGGAAAGGAAAGAAATGATAAGTTTATGGCATCATACCTAGTAGGACAAGAAGGCAGTCGCCTTCAATCATGAAAATTATTGTTATTGACAATCTATTGGTTTTAAAGCCTTAGAGCATCTCCAATGCTCTCTTTATATTAAGATTTTTCTTTATAATAAAGAGGTTTGACTCAAATTCCATCTCCAATGCTCTCTTTATCACAATCTCTATCTTTAAAATTGAGATAGAGAGTGTCTTTAGCTCTCCAATACTAGAGAGTTCAAATGACTCTCTATCTTATATTTCATTAATGAAAATTACTATTTACTATGCCACTCAGCCTCTTCATCAATAGTATTTTTGGGTTTTATGGATTTTGTCAAAATAAAGAGTTAAAGTAGAGAGTAGCATTGGAAAGGACATTGATCTTTAATCTGTATAATTAATGGTGCTCTCTATTTACATTAAAAAGGCTGGTTAAAAGTAGAGAGCACCATTGGAGATGCTCTTACATTGATACATGGAGACCTATAGCATTTTTAATGCTTGGTTTGAATTCAAAATCTAAATAGAAAATGCAACTGCATTACTTTGACCATAACAATGAAAACAAAGACAAGTTATGAAAAGTTTCAATCCAACTTATAACTTTGACTTATTAAATTTGGGGTTTCTGCTGCTGCGTTTTCCTGCAAACGTGGAAGTTGTCATTATAACTTTGACTTCTTGGATAAGTATGTGCATGTTGAAGCTGAATTAGCTCTGGCTTCACTTAAATGAGCATGCATATAAGAATCTATTTTGACAGAAAGGACGCTTGTACATCCCATCATTGGACTCTAGACCATAAGTATAACTTGTTCGATCTTGATTCTTACTTTTTGCTGAGTTTCTCAGCATCTGAAAATCAAACTTCTGGTGCAGCACACCCCCAAGCGCCCCCAATACATTGGTGTTGGATGGTAAATATGGAAGAAAATAATTGTCCTTTCCTGGAATAGTACTTGTTTATGATCTTTCCTGTTTGTTGGATAAGAATTCGTAAAGAAATAGCATTGTTGTCTGTGGTGGAGCTTGTTTATGACTTTTCTTGTTTGGTGGATACAAACAACACCCTCACACTTCTTTGTATATATGTATTTGTTCCATGGAGGATCACCACTATTGTCTGGTTAACCACAGCTCAATTCGTTGTTAGTCTCTATTTTGAAGAAATAGTTGTGCAGTTCTCGTAGATTGTTGTTCTTTTGGTCACAAAGTCTAACAAAGGTTATTGATATAGAGCCTGGTCATTTTAGGATCATTAAGATTCAGTCATGATTTATGTTTGTGCTGTTAATTATACTTTCTAAGGAATTGCTTGGTTTGCAATATCAAATATTATGTTTGAATTTCATTACTCTTGAAAGTTCAATTATCTTCTGGTAAGTATGATTGTAAAATTTGTGGATGCAGAAACTAAGGATCCACAGAACTCAAGGGTTATAATTTTCTCCAATTTTAGAGGAAGTGTAAGGTGAAAAGAATTTCTTAAGTTCATTTTTTTCGTATTGCTTTAGTCTATATTTTCTTAATCTTTCACTGCATATTCTTAGTCTTAGAAATTTTTCCTTCGCATAACTAAGTTGTTATTCAGGGACATAATGAACACATTAGCAAGCATCGGAGATCTGGTAAAAGCAACTGAATTTATTGGTCAAAGTTCAGGTTTGTAGTTCTATTCATCAACTTTATTTTTTTCTTCCTCATTTATTCCTTGCAAAATAAACTACCGTCTTCTTTTAAATGTTGCAGTGTGCTTTATTTTGTTCCTTTTTTTCTTTCTTTCTTCTTCTTTTTCTTATGATTCATGCCACTGGATTAGACATAATAATCTTGTGGCAATCATTTTTGAGATGGTTGTTACTGATACTGTCATGCAGGAAACACATTGAAAGGTCAGTCACAGAAAGTTCAACAAGCTGTATTGCAGGTACTTATGTTACATGTTATTATTTTCTGAGCTCCTTGCATTTGCTTACTTCATTTGCTCCCAGAAATTTCGAACCGGTGGATACAACGTAATTGTTGCCACGTCAATTGGTGAAGAAGGCCTGGATATCATGGAAGTTGACCTTGTAATATGTTTTGATGCTAATGTATCACCATTGAGAATGATTCAACGCATGGGAAGAACTGGAAGGAAGCATGATGGACGAGTTGATATCCTTTTATTCTCTCTCTCTCTCTCTCTCTCTCTCTCTCTTTTCATTCATTCCGAAGACTCTACCATCATTTGATTTTGTAGTTCCCTACGTTCCTTGTCAATTAGTTCCTTGACAAAGTTTCACTAGTTTTAGCTTGTGAAGGGTCTGAGTTGAAGGGTTACAAGCGAAAGAAAGCTAACAGCAGGGCAATAAGCAAGCACATGCATAATGGGGGGATAAATAGCTTCAGTTTCCATTCTAGCCCAAGAATGGTGAGATCTGTTGGAAAGTTCTCTGGTTGTATCCCTTGTTGTTAATACTTTTTATCTTATTAACCTATAATTCTTTTGTATTTGTTTCAGATTCCTCATGTTTATAAACCAGAAGTCCAATTTGTTGAGCTGTCAATTGAACAATATGTCCCTCATGGAAGGAAAGTGAAGGATGATAATACCATTCAGACACCAGTTTTCACAGAAAATCTAACTGTTGCAGAGACTGCTTTACTTGCCAAGTATTTCCACCCTGGAAATTCCTGGGCACCATCTCTCATTGCCTTTCCTCATTTCCAGTCATTTCCATCGAGAGTGCACAAAGTAATGCACTCTTACCGAACAGAGATGCTGATTGACTCGATGCAACATTTGCAAGCGCTAACATTGACTCGGGACAGTGAAGCTTTCTCTGTTGAGGTTTCCTTTCAAGCTTGGTTTCTTGAAATGTTTTCCCCTTAATGTTGGATTCTGTTGTTTATATGATTGTCTAATGGTTTCAGGATGAAGCCCCGTCACGCAAGTGCTTGGAACTTGACCCTGTTGAAGAAGAGGATAATATCAACAAAGGTAATGGTCCTTTACAGCTCAAAAAGCTCGTGTGCCAAACATTGTAGTCAATTAGTTTTTTGCAGTTTGTTAAATAATATTTGGCCAAACTGGCACAGAAAAAAGAAATAAAGCAATTAATTTTACCAGCTTCTACAAATTTAATTAGTCAGTATATATTTTAGTTTACGCATTCAAGGAGATCTTTTTTAATCTTTAGCTGTTTATACAAGACATTACATCGCACAACTAATACTATGTGTTATAAGAAATGGTTTTGGGGGCCAAAATTAAATTTCATGTGTTTGTACGTTTGCACGCTTTGATTATATCCTTTTTCTGTGGATGTACGCATATTTAAGTACGTGAATCCAGGTTTTCCCATGGTTCCTTGCCCTTTTTGTCCATGAGGAATTAAATAATTTTACTCAGGAGGGAGTATATCTTTCATGGATTCACCAAAACACTCCTTGTTTAGTTTAATTGGTGATATCTTTTGACCTTTCTCAGATTTGGCTTTCATTTTTTTTTTCATCCCTACATTACATGGTTTCTGCATTTTCTCTGGTAATTTGCCTTCTCTGTCATTCCATGTACGTTCTCTGCATGGAAATTTACTAGTCTTAAAAATAGTTTTTACTTTTTAAAAGTTAAAATACAGGAAGGAAAATTCTTTATTTGCGAAGCAAAATATCTAAAAGGCCCATGCTATGCTGTGAATTTTTGTTTCATCTGATATATATGCTTAAACTCCTAAAATGATTTTGCAGGTCCACTGACATGGGACAATCCACCAAGCACTAAATCACAGGAAAAAATAATAAATTCTGAAGTATCACCCATAAGAACCTTGAGAACCGACAACGAGCACAGTATGCTGAGTCTTAACAGACCAAGTCGTCCAGCTCATTCCTATCTTTTTGGTTCAGATTATGTATCCGTAGATTCTCTTGGGAAGGTCCTAATTATATCTGTCCCTTTATTTCCTTTGGAAGAAGTAACATATTCTAAGGGTCAAAATGCTAGCACTATGGTATCACTTAATTGTTTGAATAAAAGTTCTTGCTGTTGGAAGACTTCAGGCCAAGAGAACAAAGAATTAACCGCTCAACACAAATCCTCAATGGACCTGACAACTTCTGAGGCACGGTACAAAATAGATGCCACTCTGGCAATATCTAGATCATCTAACTTTGTTGCTCAGCAAGAGAAAACAGTGGATCCAATGGAAACAATTCCCGATACTCCAATTTTGAAGAGAAATCTGCCAAATGAAGAAGATTATGCCAGTAAGTCTCTTGATGTTTCGGGAATCAAGACATCCTCTCCGCAGGCTGATGAGTACAACAATTTCAAAGAATCTGAGTTGAGCCCCCGACTAACTAATATGATCCGAAGTGGTATTGTTCCAGAGTCTCCAATCAATGACAACGGTCAGTATCCATCCCAAGAGTAATCTTTGCCATACAAATCTCAACAATCAAAAACTTTGCTTAGTTTTTAACTGTTGTGAATAGCAAATAAACATATGCCAAGGATTTGGATTTTGCAGGACTGTTAAATGATAAAGGAAAAAATGATTCTCTTGTTCAAGAACTCATTTCAGCCACAAAACTGTGCACTGAACTGCTGACAAAGTTACAGAGTTCACAAAAAAATGAACCTGTCATGGATAGCAGTGCTTGTCAGAAGAACTTTTCAGTTTCTCCTAGTAATAATGAAACTGAAACTCCTCTACTTAAGGTTAAGAATGTTGCAAGAAAATGTAGATTTATGTCAATTTCTCCAGTGGCTGAGGAAACCAATTCTCCCTCGGCAAATCTTACAAAAAGTAGCAACAGCAAAGATTGGCTTTTGAGTTCTGAAGACAAGTCAGAAAATGTTGAACCAGTTCACAAGTTCAAAAGGCTGCGGAAAGTTGGAGATATTGGGGAGAAAAGAAATTCAAAGGGAACAAAAGAAAATTCTACACTCCGTATCAAAAACCTTAATAAATCCTTTTCAGGTACGTGTCCTAATGAACTTAAGAATGGTGGTGGTACTTGTAGTCATGTCTGTTGCATCTTAGTTATCCATTCTGCAGTGGAAAAATATTTATCTGGTAAAGTAGAGCCTGTTATTCTTCTTGAATGGAAGCCTGAGCATACTAAAGCTCTATGATTGTGCAATGTTTTGGAGTCAAACACAAGGTTACTATCAATAATACTAAGCACCTTTCCTGTGTTCAGGTAAAATGAAGGGAGTTGGCAATGCCAGGGCCTTCATTGAGGAGGAAGCTGAGTAAGTTCATGTGACTAGTTATGTGCTGCCTGACTTGTTTCCTTCTTAACAGTATTCTGAGTTTTCACTAAGCATTAGCAACATGTTTTTTAGAAACATTTTTTATTTGTGGATACTATTTTCTCATATAAAGATGGGAAATTTTAAGACTATTGTTTTTTGAATGTTCATGCTGGCTTCTCTGTAATTTGGGTATGCTCAGAGTATCTTCGGAAGCTGAAATATCTGATGACGAGGCAGATGACTCAGGAAACAGTTCATATGATGATAGTTTCATAGATGACAGGATAAATCCAACAGTGGCAAGTACTGAAACTGAAGCTAGCAGAGCTGACATGATGGCAGTTTACAGGTTCTCAACTCTCTCTCTCTCTCATGCGCCTATCCACTCCTTATGTGTTAGGGCTTAATCTAAGATAGAAAACTGCAGTATTGTAATCTGAAAGTTCTAGTTATCAGTCAAGCTAAGTTGCATGCTTAATTTCATTTCACTATCCTCAGCTATTCCAAAATTGGTCTAGTAATCATCTCTTCAAATATATCCCATTGGGACAAAATCATGAAACTTCTGAGTACAAAATTTAATTGATGTCATCACGCAACAGGCGTTCTTTGCTCAGCCAATCACCAATGGTGAGGGAATCTAGTTCTAGTGCCACCTTCACTCCTGATTTTGGGGCTTCCACAAGCAGAATGAATGGAAGTGGAAGTTCCTCAGCCAAGACATTGTTTTCTGTTCGGACACCTCAAACTGATTCAGCAAATCAGTCTGCTGAAAGGGATTCAGGACCCATCCAAATCAACCCAGAGACGAGGATCTCTGCAGCAAGGCCCTGTACAACGAGTGATTCTCAGAGAGAGAACGAGACGAAGTCAGAAACCAGGAAAAGAAAATTGAGTTTTCGTCAATCATCATCTATTCCAATACTCAACTTAGAGCGAGAGTTCTCTTCACAGTCGGAGGTCCAAGAAAAAGCATCATTCCAGCAACATCTAGCAGACAAAACTGATGCCAACGGGGACATCTTCTATGATGATCAATTTTTTGCCACTCTTGATCTTGATGCTGTAGAAGAACAAGCTACATTACTTCTCAAACAAAGATCAGAGCTGTCGGTACAAAAGCAGGATGTGATTCTAAAATCGGAGCTGCAAAATCTTGACCTCCAAAGTTCCCCATCTTTTGATCTTGGGATATTGTGATGTAGATGAATATCTGTGTGGTTCCCCTGCTCATGCACCCTTCAAAGAATTGGCGCTTGCAGGGTATCATCTGTCCCCACAGGTTTATCCTGGTTGAAGGGAAACACAAGAAGGCATATACCTGTAAACAGATGTAATTAAAAAAATCAAATTTTATAGAGAACATGTACATATGTATTTATAAGATCGCATTGTCTCATAGACACTCGAAGAATAACAAGTGCTATTAAGCTGACATTTTTTGTCTACAAAAGCTGGTTTATAAAGCCATTTGAATGCAGGATTAGCTTCGGAGTTGGGACTTCGAAGACGATAGGGTGGGTCTTAATAACAAGATGTGAATCAAGTGTTCAAAATAGGATAAGACAGAATTAAGTTTTGGGATCTAAAAAACACAATTGATTGGATTGGTATGAAAAGAAAGAGGCTGGCTTAATTAATGGATTGGGATCACGATCCATCATTTTCTTCTGAAAAAATAGTTAAATGGCTGAGATCTGACTGAGTAGCCAAAATTTGCTTTAACACTAGAATTTTACTATTTTCAACCAATACTTACCTTTGACGTATAATTTTAATTTACGTGGCGGTTTAGAAAAGGAAAGAAATTATAAAAAACACTAAAAGGCATGGGGATTTTATTGTTATTAGACTGTTCATCTACTCTCAGTTTAGTGTGGATTGATTTACAAGAAGACAATTTTACACATATTGCTACTAAGTAGATCTGCTCATGCACCCTTTTCTTTTCTTGACGAAGTATTTAATGCACAATTTTTTCTCCTCATTTTCATGAGAAGAGAGGGGCTTCAAGAGTAAATTATAAATTAATCCCTCTTTCATAGGAAAACAAGTTAATTAGTCCATTTGATTTCAAAAACTAATTTTTGTTATTCTTGCTATTTTTCTTTTCTTTTCTTTTTTTGACTTTTTTTTTAAATAATAAAAAATAGATAAAAATATGAAAAAAAATTGTTGAGAAAAGAAAACATTTTTTAAATAAAAAATAAATTAGTTTGGCTAAAAGATTAAATAATTATTTTTTGAAATCAATAGGATTAATTAATTCATTTCTCAAAACAAAACAGATTGATTTATCATTTATTTATCACTATATTTACATCTACTGCATGAAATAAATATATTGATCACTATATTCACATCTACCACATGAAATAAATATATCTATATAATATGTTTTTATATTTTAAAATAAAGATATATTTTAGATTATATTACTATTATTATTTAAAATTATTTCTTCAATTTGTCATTTTTTATTAATATTTTCATCAAATTAATTTTTATTTTGTTTAAATATTATTTATTGATAAACATGATTTATTGTTCTCTATGTATAAATTTTTAAATAAAAATTTACAATATGATTATTTAATATATATATATATATATAATTTATATAATGGACTCTTAGAATTTTTAAATGATAATAGCATATATATATATATATATATATATATGTTAGAGAATTTGTATTAGATTTTTTGAAAAAAATAATTTACAAAATAATTTTTTAGTTATAAATCCATGGAGTTTTAGATTTTATTTTTAGATTATCACAAGTTTTTAGTTAAGAATTGAATAAATAAGAATAAATCATTTTTTTGTAGAAAATTTTTGAAAAATACAACAAATAATTCATCAAATGCAAAATTTTAATTAAAAAAATAATTATTATATTTTGGTGAATTCACAGTAAAATATAAATTTTTAAATTAAAATATTTTTATATGTTTTTTTCAATCCGCATCGTAACGCAGGTGAAAAACTAGTTAAAACTAATCCAAAACAAACCTATACAAGTTCGGGTACATGTGCCTAAAATTCTCTATTAAAAAAAAAGGAGTATGTTTAACTAATTTCTCACAATTTAGACCCCTGACTAAAAGCTTTCATTGGTTATTTTCCAACTCTTCACTTTTATAAGACAAGAAGTGCATTGCCCATGAAAGGACTTAAAATACTTACGCCGACACAATAACAAAATAATTGAAAATAACTCTTAACATAATGCCCTATTTTTTATATTGTTTTACACACTAATGTCAAACCCTCATGTGAAGAAACATATTCTCATGCATTGATCATCATTTTGTTTTCATTAAAAAAAAAAAAAAAAAAAAGGGTTAGCCAGCAATGCAGATCTTCTCAAGAAACTCTGATGCTCCTAAAAAATTGTCTAAAAAGTTTTCAATTTCTTCTAATTAATAAGAGAATGGCTATTGTAAATACTTTCTTGAATAATTAAGAACGCATGTTTCAACCATTGAATTACTATTTTCAAATCAAAAGTACACATGCATGTTAAAGGAAGTGAGAATCAGAGGCTGCAGCACCTAATTGTCTTAATCCTCATTTTCCGCTCCAAGTAGCTTGGCTTACTCATCCAAATTTCAATGACTTTGTAAACCAAACCTGGAAGAGTGGTCAAAATCTTTTACAGGCCGCTGATACATTTGTTGATGATGTCAGGAGATGGAACTGCGATTTGTTTGGACATGTTCAACAAAAGAAGAAGAGATTATTAGCCAAACTAGAATGCATCCAAATAGCCATTGAACCGTATTCTAATTCCTTTCTATTCAGACTAGACAGGCAGCTTCGATTGGAATTAGAACAAGTCCTCTAAAAATTCATAGTTTTGATAAGAAAGAAGTGGAAAAGCCCTAATGAGAAAAACCCTTATCATAAACTAGGAAAACCCATATCCACATAGCAACCAATCCTCCTTATCCATATAAAAACCCATATCCACACCCTTCTTGCTCTTCCTCTCTCTGTAATTCACTCTCTCATTTCTCTCTTGAAGAATAACCCAAGAAAATGGCAGTGAAAATTCGTTTAGCTAGACTGGGATGCAAAAACAGGGCATTTTACAGAATCATTGCTGCTGATAGCCATACCCCAAGAGATGGCAAACATCTTCAAGCTCTTGGTTTCTATGACCCCTTAGCAGGTTCCCTCTTTTATTCTAGCCTCTTGTTATTTTCACATGGTCAGTTTACATGATGATTTTATGCTATTAAAGACTTGAAATTTGAAGGCTTATTCATTTTCAACCTCTCTTTTTCTCTATTGGGTTCACTCTCAAGTTCTCTTATTATCATATTTATGTGCAGATAACTTTGTTATTAAAGACTCAAAATTTATGGGGTTATGCATTTGCAAAGTGGGATGCATTTATAATTTTCTTTTCATGTATATGTAGTTTAACATGTCCATTGATAGCACTGGCTGTTCAAAGTTTAGAGTGTCCTCAATTGAAGTCTGAAATTTTTAAAGCACAAAGACAATCAGGTGTATGGGTATAGGCCAACATTATTGATAGGACTAATACAATTGCTCGCATATCATCAATTAAAATAAATGTATCTAGTCTATGATAGTCACTGAAGCACAAAAATCTTTTGTTTCTCTGTTAGGGATATATACATGTAGCATCTTCAGAGAACAAGAACAAGAATGGGAAGAAGCAGGAAAGCGTACGGCATGGTAAGCTTGTGTTCAAGGATTAACAAATGAACATGCACGCACAGGTATTTCATAGTAAAGGTCTTCCATGTAACCATTGCATCCACGCGCGCACAGGTATTTTTCGTGTCTACGGTCAGGTAGGATTTCGCCAGAAAACCTCCCGAAATCAAATAGTTTTGGGTTGAAGTCCTGTTTATATATCAAAGCGTTGTATGTTACTAGAGCGAGTTAAGAGTATTCACTGACTCATAGATGCAAAGAGGAAACAGTATCTGGTAAAAGGCAAGGAGACCAACCTGATCAAGCATTATATGAGATGCACTTATGTTGCGCACTAGGTAGGGAGTCACCAGCATGTAGAAATTTAAGGAGGCGGGCCAGTCCAAAAGCAACCTTAATTCTATGTAGCCAAGTAAAACTCCCTAAAATTGGAAAACAAATGGAAGCAGCTTAAATTATGTTAGATATGCCAGCATGGATGACAGCAAAAAATATCCTAACTACAGTTCATCAAGTGTTTCTTTTTTAGCTTCGAACAAACCCAAACCATATTTTCATACAACAACAAATAATTTATAGAAAAAGAACGAGTACCTTTCGGAGACAGGGAATTGCCTTGCGGAGAAGGTCGTTCAGTCACTTTCCAGGCTTTTGGCTCTTGGAATCACATCCCCTTGTGGTTCGGAAAGCTCGAGACTTTACCAATCAACCAGTATTATGTGTTCATCGTTTATATCTATAGACAAGAAACATATTTATTCATGCATAGAATCAGCCTGAACAAGAAAATTTAATATCCTAAGGACTCATAAAAATATAAACTTTAACTAGAAATTTCATGAAAATATCTTTAAATTATAGAAATTATCTAATTATAGTGGGATGACGACTTGGTAGAAAAAACTGAAGACTTGAGATCTTTGTGAAAATATAGTGGAAGATTTGAGGTCATCTCTCCGGTTCAACTTTTTCTTGGTCTTCAAAGCATAAAGGAAGTCCCAAAGAAAGATTGTGTGAAGTGTCCAAGAAAGTGATGCGAAATTCCTTAATATGTGTCCAAGAAAGTGATGCGAAATTTCCTTAATATGCGCCAATATAATACTTACATCTGAAACCTCGTTATTCATACATTCCAAAGCTACGGACTTAAAAGTAGTCTTAGCTACAGATTTCAAATTAGTTGCTTCTGGTCTTTTAGTTTCTTCCCTTTGATCTCTTTGTATAACTAGCCTTCAAAACCCTCTATTTTTTTTTTTTAGCCCTTCCTCATGGCTTCTTCTTCTACTTCAACCCCTACCCCTCCCAAGAAATATGACGTCTTCCTTAGTTTCAGAGGAGAAGACACTCGTTGTGGTTTTACCAGCTACCTCTATGATGCTTTGAAGCGGAAACAAATCCTAACCTTCATAGACAATGAGCTTGTGAGAGGAGACGAAATTTCGCCTTCACTTTTGAAAGCAATTGAAGAGTCCAAGCTTTCTGTGATTATTTTTTCTGAAAACTATGCATCTTCAAAATGGTGCTTAGAGGAGCTTGTACAGATTCTTGAATGTAGAAACAATAACGGACAGATAGTTGTTCCTGTTTTCTACTTGGTTGATCCGTCTCATGTTAGAAATCAAACAGGAAGCTTTGGAGATGAATTTGCGAGACTAATAGAGGAGAAAGCTTTGGCCATGAACAACGTGCAGAGCTTCAGAAGCGCTTTAAAGGATGCGGCCAATCTATCAGGGTGGGGCTTAGGGAAGTCTGAGTAAGCTCTCTTAATTATGTTCTTTTTCTTTGTTTTTTCAACCATATGCGTGTCGTTGATTGTTGCTGCATAAGTGTCGGTATGATGATAGATTCAGATTTTTGTAAGTTTGTAATATTCTTAATTCATCTACTTTCTTTCATATACGTCAATTACATGAAGTTTCAAATTTCAAGGATTGATTAATTGTAGCATTATTATTACTTTGAGACAAAGTATAAAACTTGCATAATTCCTTCAAATCACTTTCTCTTAACTCTAATGGGTACACCTTTTGAGACCCAAGAGAAAATATATTCCCCAGGTGAACGGATGCCGAACCTAAATATAGCAAAAAGACCAGAACAATATCCTACGTACTAACAAATCCTATATGTCTTCGTGTTAATTTGTCAGGTTGCAGTCTGAATTTGTCCAGAAAATTGTGGGAGATATTTTGAACAAATTGTCAGAGATGCCCTCAAGTCACACTATGGATCTAGTTGGAATTGAAGCACGCCTTGCCGAAATTGATTCCTTATTAAACATGGAATCGGAAGATGTTTCCCTTGTAGGAATATGGGGAATGGGTGGTATTGGGAAGACAACGATTGCTGAAGCTATATGGACCAATATTCACACTCAATTTGAAGGAACTTTTTTGCAAACTTTAGGGAAGAATTAAAAACACGTTCAATGGTTGATTTGCAAAGAAGCTTTCTTTCACAACTATTAGGCCAAGAAATTCTGAATATGGGCCCTTCGAGTTTCCGACATTCTTTTACAAGGGATGGACTTCACCGAAAGAGGGTTCTTATTGCTCTTGACGATGTGGATAATTTAATGCAATTGCCAGAATGGAAAGAATTGATTTTGAAACATCAATCTTCATTTGGTCGAAGAAGCAAAATTCTGGTAACAAGTAGAGATAAGCAATTGCTTAAGGAAATGGTTGGTGAAGAGTGCATATATGAGGTTAAGGGATTGAACCGTGAAGAAGCTTTTCAACTTTTTAGCATGAAAGCCTTCAAGAGTAGAAATCCAACAATTGATCATGAAAATTTGTTGGAAAGGACAGTAGATTTTGCACAAGGCAACCCATTAGCTCTTATTGTTTTGGGTTCAGCTTTGTTTGGTAAAAGCAATGAAGAATGGCATAGTGCATTGAATAAATTAGCTCTAGACCATCGAATTGAAAATGTATTGAGGATTAGCTATGATGGACTTGATCACGAACAGCAATCTATATTTCTTGATATAGCATATTTTTACAGAGGATGGGAGCAAAACCATGCTACAAGAGTATTAGAAAGCTGTTATCCGTCTGCACTATACAACATAAGCACCCTCATTGATAAGTGCCTCATAACAGTTTCTCACAGCATGATAAGAATGCATGCTTTACTACAAGAAATGGCATTGAGAATTGTTGATGCAGAATCTAAGAATCCTGGCAAACGTAGCAGTTTGTGTGTTCCTGATGATATTGTTCATGTACTGAAGAAAAAGAAGGTTAAAGCTAAACTCATTCACTTTTTTTTCTTCTCTCCCCCGGCATATTTTCCAAGGAATTTTATATCTATTAAAAATTTGAAGTTTCAAGCAGATTTTTTGAAAAAAAAAATATATTATTTATTTATTTTTTATTCTGTATCCTTGATTTTTAGGGAAGTGACCGAATTGAAGGCATATCTTTAGACACATCCAAATTATCGAGAGAGATGCACTTGGAATCAGATGCTTTTGCTAAGATGGATCGTCTTCGATTTCTCAAATTCTACGGTGACCATCTCTTCACTGGATTTCACCTTCCTTCTAGTGGTCTCAAATATCTTTCTGAGGAGCTGAGATATCTACGTTGGGATGGATTTCCTTGTAAATCTTTGCCACAAAATTTTTGTGCTGAAAACCTCTTTGAGCTCAGTTTTTGGGGGAGTAAGGTTGAAAAACTTTGGAGAGGAGAACAGGTAAATATGATTTAATTTCTGCAAACGTGTCTGTAGGAGAAATAGAAAAGTCGAAGAAGCTAATTGTCTAATTATGCCTTTTTCTTAATTATGACAGGATCTTGTAAATTTAATAAATTGCGACCTCAGTTGCTGTGAATGTTTGACGGAATTGCCAGATCTATCAAAGGCCAAGAATTTAAAAGTTTTAAGTCTCGTTGGCTGTAATAGTTTAATTGAGGTTCCGTCTTCCCTTCAATGTCTTGAGAAGCTTGAAGTACTCAATCTCTTTCGATGCTACAATCTTAGAAGTCTTCCAAGTAGGTTTGATTCAAAGAAGCTCAGAGAATTTACTATGACTAAATGTCTAGGTATCAGTAAGTGTCCAGAGATCATTTCACGAAATATGAAAAAATTGAATTTAAGTGGAACCTCAGTAAGAGACGTGGCTGGATCAGTTACGTGTGAACATATTTATCTAGGTGGTTGCTCAAATATTTCCAAGTTTCCAGAGGGTTTACGGGATATAATAGATCTAGGTCTAAGTGGGACAGCTATAGAAGAGGTGCCCTCCTCAATCCAGTTTCTCACCAGACTGCAAATATTGGATATGAGTGGTTGCTCAAAACTGGAGAGCTTCCCAGAGACTACGGAGCCTATAAAATCTTTAGATACTCTTGATTTGGCTAAAAGTGGTATTAAACAGCTGCCCTCATCATTAAAGTATCTCGTATCTTTGCGAAATCTGAATATAGAAGGAACGCCTATTAGAGAGCTACCAGAGCTTCCCCCTTCACTAACGTTACTAAGAGCACGTGACTGTGCATCACTAGAAACCATATCAACCGTCAATTTAAGGAGTGGCTGGATTCGTTTGGATTTTTCAAATTGCTTCAAATTGGATCAGAAAGCACTGTCAGCAGATATGCATTTGAAAATTCAGGTCTCTCTTTTAAATAAATATCCTCTCCCTCCCTATTTCTCTCTTTCTTGGTTGATCGCATTTTTGAAATATGCTTTTTCTGTTACAGTCTGCAAAGATGCGAAAAATTGAAATGATGTTACCGGGGAGTGAAATTCCAGAATGGTTGAGTAATCAAGGTGAGGGATCTTCCGTAACCATACAGTTTCCCTCAAACTGTCAACAGCTCAAGGGATTTGCTTTCTCCATCGCCTTTCTATTTCCCTCAAACTGTCAACAGCTCAAAGGTGAAGTTTTAAGAGGATTGGGTTGTTGTGTCAAAACTAAAACCGGTGAGCATGAGGACCTCACTTACGTGTCAACTCTGTATTGCACACCATATTGCTCAGATCACACGTTCTTATGGTACGACGCCGCAGTATCAGAAAATCGGTTCTGTAAATTATTTGGCAAAGAGAATATATTCAGCAAATATTCTGGCAATGAAGTTACATTTGAATTCTACCCAGAGGTTTTCAGTCCGTTCGTGAGGATGACGAAGCAGGAGCTGGATGAGATCGAAAAGCTTTGCAAGGTGAAAAGGTGTGGGGTATATCTTCACTTCGATGAAAATCTACCTAGCAAGAAGTACTCTGATGAGTATTTAATTTGAGTGAAGAGGATTCAGTTGACGAGACTGATTACGAATGATCATCTTTGATGCTCTCCTATTCACCATGCCGGACACAGTTACAATCTAGTGAAGAGGTTTCCTCTGTTAATGTTTGTATGGAGGCTAACGACCGTCTTATTTGGTCTTATGATTAAAGGGCTCCTTTTTGGTCAGATCCTGTAGCTCTATGCTTAATAATTTTCTTCTAGCTTCAAAAGTAGAAGTTTTTGTTTGGCTAGCTTCCTTGAATAGATTATATACTAGAGACTCTTTAGCCAATAAAGTGGAGGTGTTGGTGATTCAGAAAGTTTCAGAAATTACTATGGCTTCTCCTTTAGCTCATCAAGTCCATTGGGTTATAGAGTCAGAACTATTGCTTGGATGCACAAAACTTCAACTGGTTGGCCCTAAAAACTTCAGAGTATTTTTAATTATATTTCTAATTTTATATTCTCTTTAAAATCTGTTTATAATTTTTCAGGTAAAGATTAACCATCTCATGTTTATGAATGATTGTGCTGCCTACGAAGGTGACAGGGCAAAACATCTTTTGTTCTCAGCTATTGTTTGGTTCCGTAGTATCAAAGATGAGATGCTACCGTCGACCTTCAATTGTGTAAATCTTAAAAATAACCGAATCCCAACCCAGAACAAGGCTCGCTTTACAAATTTAGCTAGTGTTTTCTACCAATGCAAGTTCATAACTGCACAAACTATTGCCTTCATTTAGCGTCTGAGGTTGCATTTTCTATCCCCAAGGCATCGGCTAAATTAAAGTTCAGATTGTTTCTCATGGTTCTGGTCCTCCCAACTCCTCCATCACCCTTTCTCATCATTGCAGCAAACTCCCCATAATCTATCCGCCCATCCTGCAAATAGCAACAGATTAACATTGTCAAATTTTGGTCTTGGCGCTTGAAAGACTTTATGCTTAACAAAAGTAGTGCCCGTTATTTCATTAATTATGAAACATGGAGAAGAGAAATCATGCAATTTCAGGCAGATGTTGAGAGATCCAGACCCTGCCTGCATATCTTTTATATTAGGCTACATCAGTACGGGCATATGGCACCTACACCTCTCAATATAAACCACGTTATGGTTAGGAATATAAGTCTGAATTCATTATCACCTGGCATGAGGTTTCATCAGCATAAACCAGTTGCAGCAAATAAGCACATGCCCTGATCCCAGTGCACCGAAACAGACAGGAAAAACCAAGGCCAACCTTTGGAGAGAGAATGCAATATCTTCCCACCAGTTATCTAGATTTTCTTTTCCATCTATAAATGTGAATTCTTCTAGAAGAATCATCATGATCCAGAAAATCTATTTCCTCATTGCTACCAACTGCTTAAATCTCATATGTGCAAACAACCAAACTTCAAGCCCACAAGCAAAATACATTAATTATACTCCATCGCTAAAATTACCACCATTATACTTTTATCTGAACATAAAAGATCATATAGGAAAAATATTGTTAACTGCTTTGCATGCCTTAGTGAGCGAAGGTAAGAGGGCTCCGTTATAAGGCCAATATACGCTGATATGGAACTAATATAGATGAAATTGTGGTGACAGTAATAGCACTGATTGATGAAGATGATATTTATCAACTAGAATGAAATAGGCAAGTGAGATTATTAGACCAAATATAAACATACAGACTTACATTGTCTTGATCAATTTCTTTGATCGTCTCATCCAGATGAACATCACCAAGACCAAAATCTTGGCAAGCCTGTTGAAGCTCGTCAAGGGTGATGTAACCACTACCATCTTTGTCAAAATAGGAGAATGCTGCAACCAAATTGTCCTCTCTCTCCATCTTATTTAAGTGCAAAGTAGCAGCAAGAAATTCACCATAGTCTATTATTCCACTGTTGTCTATATCAGCCTGTAGAAGTTTTCCATGCATGATTAGCAATACAAATCAATAGTTATCCAGACAATCATGTTAGCAATATAAAAAAAAAATGGTCTGAATGTTAGGCACAATAGGCAAAATAAATAATAAAACGAAATTCTTTATTCTACAGTTTGTAATAATTGTCTACTGCATCCATCAGAGCCTTGATTTCAGCTTCCGTCATCTGAGAACCTACTCTCTTCAAACCATGTTTAAGTTCTTCAAATGTTATTGTCCAACTATTGTCTGTCTCGATCATTTTAAACAGCTCTTTCAACCACCAATTTCTTCTTCAGAAAGTCTTTCTCCTATGACCTACCAAAAAAAAATGCCCAATGCCATGAATGAAACTACAATTTATATAATTATCAGAAAACAGCTGTTCCATCATAGAAAGACAACAAAGTAAAGGAAATGGTTTTGGCCACCAAATTCCATCACAGCTTTTGCAAAACACAACTAGAAATACAAAGAACAGCTGAACCGATTCTTTATCATAGCATGCAAGTCCTTCATTTCTTAAATTGAACAAAATGTCTAAACTAAGGAGTGAAATCTCCCACTGTTGCATACTTTCTTTGAGAACAAATGATATGTGTCCTTTAACAAAACAAGCCCTTACTGCATGTTTATGATAATTAGCTTATTTCAATTATCCTTTGCTCAGTGGTTACACAATCAATGTTGACGGAAATAGTTTCTCTTTTCCCCTCCATCCATTACTTGCACATCACAAAAAGCTATTAATGGTTGAATTGTTCTCAGAAAAGAAATTTTAAGTAGCATTGAGATAATCCCCTAAAAAGATAATAAATAATAAGCTTAAAAGAAGTGATGGGTGTAGCTAATCGTTTCAGGATCCTGGATTGTTTTGCAAACCAATGCTGTTGTGTGTTGATAGAGATGTCCATTAATGAGGCCATAGTTTTAAATCGTGATCGCAGTTATAAAAACAACCACAATCACGATTGCGGGTCATAGCCTATCACAGTAGTAAAACAATAATTGTGGCAGCTGATGTCGTGAATATATTAGTAAATATTAATAAAATTATTATAATTCACATAGTTTTAATAGTTTTACTAATTAAAGATAGCAATAACATCTTTCATAGTTTAAAATCATGTATCTAAAATTGAATTTATTACAATTGAAAGTCAATAACACTTCTAATAGTTTAAACATTACATAAAGTGCATGTGTATGTGAATTGCATAAGTGCTTGGATGAGTACTCACTCTCCTTGCAAGTTTTAACATTACATAAAGTGCTCCAATAATAATATAATGGAGCAAAAACAAAAACATCAAGTGAAGTTGTGAAATGTAAACTGAAAGTTCACATGCATGTTCAGCTAAAATATATAGTAGATAGCCTACCAGAACACTGATATAATAATTGTTTGTTTGTTTGTTTGTTTATTATTATTATTTTTTTAGAATCACTATTATAATCATTTGTATAATACATCCAAAGGCTGAAAAAGTAGTGACATTTCACTTGAGTTGGTGATGTTTCTTCAAAGAATCGAAAGACTTTTTATTATTATTATTATTATTATTTAAGGAACAAATATAACGTCCATTATTCATCAACTAACGGCAATAACGGTCGTTACCATTATATAACACTGTTAATTGCAGTTATTTGGATGAAACAGCATTTGGCTTCCTATAATGCCATACAACAGAAACAGGCAATGCCTGAATCCATTACATAAAGGCCATTATTTGGAACTATGAGTGAGACCATCGCTCAACTGCCTTAACTACCTTCCACGTAGTATGCTGAAAATCAGGCTTCACCATTATTCAGAATTAGTGCAACTATATTAAAATCAGAATATGTGTTTGTAACATGCTTTTAGCTTTAACCATGGCATACTAAGGAAAAACTAAGTAAGGTGCCTTAAGTGCTGTGCATCTAGTTCTCCAATCGAAGGTCCCACATGGGCATGGGGACATTGGGGAACCAGATGAACAGTGCCTATCATACAACATCTAGGTTCTCTTACCAGTAATCCTTGCCTTATGTGTCAAGTTTCTCCAAAAATATGCAGGATGCCTAAGAAATCAATTGTCTATAAAGATGAAATACATCACAATATCTTCTTTGGAAGATTTATTACATCACAACACTAACATTGATTGTTAATCATCTTTTTCTCCTGATCTCAGCACTTCTGTGCTTATAATCTGGATATCACAATTTTTTCATGGTTTCAAAGTTTAAATGAACCCTAAACTAGAAATGATGATGCCTCAAACAGTGAAAAAGGTGCATAGATGTAGATCGATGTCAAACTGCTTTAGTACAGCATGAATGTTATGAAGGCAAACACGAAAATCTTCTTCCACGTGACATACTGAAACCCATTCATAGAATGACAAATATGTAAGAAACAGACCTCTATAGTACATAAACTAGTGTCTTAAAACTGGCAAAAAACCTTCAACACTACATTATTCACTCTTAGAAACAAGAAAAGCCACTATCTGTCAGAATTGAGTTGGTGCATCCAACTATTAAAGCTTAATTTTAGTTGTTTTGCATATTTTTCCCAGGGACATTTCTTAAAGCAGATACTTTCACTTTCTAAAATTTAAATGAATTGTTAAGTTGCTAGCAAATTCCTGAGGATAAATTTCCTAAACATATATACAAAAGTCTATATGGAAAATGATAACAGAAAAGCGAGGATAAGACATACACGCAGAGCCATCTTTTTAAGTTTATTCATTGCTGAGAATTGCTTCAGACGTGACAATACTGCAGAATCAAGAGGTTTGTCTGGAGCAACTCTGTCATCTACAATCCATGGGTTACCTAATAGTACAAACAACCACTGTTATGTCTTGAACAAGATGCAACAGCTTTAGCAGGGGTAGTATATATCTGCATTCCTACTACATGAAGTCCAAAACTAACATGCAATGCAAAGGAATGAAATCACTTACACAAGGCTTCATGAGCAGTAATCGTTTGCCTCGGGTCCCTCTCAAGCATCTTTCGGATCAAATCTTTTGCACTATCTGAGATATTTGGCCACGGATCAGATTCTAAATCTAGTTTTCCTTGTAAGATCTGTCTAAAGATTCCTGATTCAGTTTCTGCAATTAGTAGGAAAAAGTAAATACACTTTACGTAAAAAGAAGATAAGCAAAAAGGCATCTACTTTGTTGCAACTCTAAAACTGCAGAGAACAAGACACAATATGAATTAGGATCCCTACCTGCCCAAAAAGGTGGAACCCCACTTAATAAGATGTAAAGGATAACACCTGCACTCCAGACATCTGCTTGAGGTCCATAATGCTTAAGCAAAACCTCTGGTGCAACATAATACGGACTCCCAACTACATCATGAAAATATTGTCCTGCAGGGAAAAGGAATAGGGGAGAAATTAACCAACCATACATCTTTGACAAAATACCATTCAGAAACTCAGGGAACATTTAAGCATATACGTAATTCCTAGCAATTTATATTTACCAAAAGAAGGTCAACTCAAGTTAGAAAGAGCAGAAGAAAACAATGGACAGAAATTTCTTTAAGAGGTTATAAACCTCAACCATATACTCAAACAATTGTTTTCCGTTTATTATGAGGGAGTATCCTCATTTTACTTTCTTCGATAGTAATTCCATCATATTTCCATTTGTCTTTGCTAACAGGTTATTATTCCAGTGAAAACGGATGCAGGTAAAAGAGAAAAACAAACCATGAAAAGCACATAGCCTAACTAGCGCACAGACTAAATGGATATGACATTGTCATAAAAAAAAAAAAAAATTGAGCATGAAAAGCTCACGGCTTCATCAATCATTAACTTGACCAAACAGATATAGCATTCCAATCTATAATTTAGCTAGATAGATGAATATGGTGTTCCCATAAAAAAATTAAATATAAAAAAGCTCACAATCTTGCCAAACATGTTTGTCGAGACTAAAAAAGGACTAGTGATGGGACAGGGTGCCACTTGTCACCCCTACCGCCCAAAAAGTGCTAAAAATAACCATTGCACAAGATCTTTGGAGATAAGAGCGTCCTAAATGAACAACTCGAGCAGTGCACCTCCTGTATAGCATACCTAGACGAGAAAGCAGACTATTTCTCTAACAAATCACTAAGGGAATGACACATTTAATGAAGAAGCTCCTTTAGGATCCGCTCAGTTAGATTCACACTTGTCACAGCTATGCCACTGTCCAAGGATATAGTCACACTAATTGTCTTAATCCTCATTTTCCGCTCCAAGTAGCTTGGCTTACTCATCCAAATTTCAATGACTTTGTAAACCAAACCTGGAAGAGTGGTCAAAATCTTTTACAGGCTGCTGATACATTTGTTGATGATGTGAGGAGATGGAACCGCGATTTGTTTGGACATGTTCAATAAAAGAAGAAGAGATTATTAGCCAAACTAGAATGCATCCAAATAGCCATTGAACTGTATTCTAATTCCTTTCTATTCAGACTAGACAGACAGCTTCGATTGGAATTAGAACAAGTCCTCTAAAAAGAATTAATTTGGTGTCAGAAAACTAGAAGTAGATGGTTTAATTTTGGAGACTGGAACACTTCATACTGTACTTTCATGCTACCACAATCTCAAAGCGAAGAAGGAATACAGTGGATTGCTTGCGGTATAATAAAGGAAACTGGCATTCAAATGTTGATATATCGAAGACTATGGCCAAGAATTATTTCAGGGAACTCTTTACTCAAGATAACTATATAATGGAGGAATTTCCAATTTCTGGTGCTTTCCCTCTCTTTCCTAGCCAAGCTTATGAGTCCTTGTGCGTTCTAATTTCTGACACAGATCAAAACTGCATTGTTTGATATGGGGTCGTATAAAGCTCCCGGAGTAGATTTATTACAGGCTATCTTCTACCAAAGCCAGTTGGAAACTATGGGAGCTTCGGTATGTGCTTCTGTTAAATAAATTTTTAATGAAGGATGCTGGTATCCTGGGCTAAATCACACTCTTCTCTCTCCTGTTTCGAAGATAGAAAGACCAGAAATGATGGCTCACTTTAGACCGATTGGTCTTTGTAGTGTTACTTATAAAATCATTACAAAGCTCAGATTGAAACCTCATCTATCTAGGCTGATTGCGCCTACTCATAATAGCTTTGTTACAGGGCATCATATCTGTAAAAATATAATCATAACCCAGGAGGTCCGACATTCTATGAGAAGAAGGGAAGGCAAAAAAGTGTTACTAGCTATCAAAATTGAATTGGAAAAAACTTATGACCGCCTTAGATGGGATTTTATCATTGATACTTTTCATGACATGCGGCTTCCTAGACGTCTCATTTCTCTAATCATGAAGTGTATTTCAGGTGGATCCATGCAAGTGATCTGAAATTGTGAGATTACTACATCTTTCACTCCTTTTAGAGGCATCCGCCAAGGAGACCTTCTTTCTCCATATATGTTTATTCTTTGCTTAGAACATTTAAGCCATCTTATTGATCATGAAGTGTAGAATGGCAACTGAAAACCTACCCAACTCAATCGCAACGGTCCTAAATGCTCTCATTTGTTTTTTGTGAATGATTTGGTTCTTTTTGTAAAAGCTGATATAACCCACACTACAACAAAAATGAGTTTTAGCGACGATCAACAAACCGTCGCTAAATACTTAGATTAGCAACAATTTTTCACACTTTAGCAACGGTCTAAAAAATGGTTACAAAAATTAAATTTTGCGACGGTTTTTAGCAACGGTCCACCAATTTGTTGCTAATGTTATAGGCTAACCATTTTAGCGACGGTTTATATTTAAGAAAATCATTGCAAACTTAGCAACGGTCTAAACCGTTGCTAAACCGTTTGTAAATGTTATTTAATATTTTTTCAACGGTTTTATAAAAAAAAATCCTAAATAAAAAATAAATTTAGCAACCGTCACGGACCGTCGCTATTCAATTACCAAAAAGAAAATTAGCAACGGTTTGGTGTTATTAAACCATTGCCAAAATATTCGTTTTAGCGACGGTCCAAGACCGTCGCTAAAACATCGCCAAATCAACTCTGGAAACGGTTTAGCGACGAGTCACCCGTTGGTAATTTAATTTTATTATTTTAACGGTCGAAAAAATAACCGTTACAAAAGTTTGACTTGTCGCTAAATCGTCGCTAAAAGTAAACCGTTGGTGGAAACGTCAAATTTAATTTTGAATTTATGTTTAGCCGTCGCTAAAAACTTTACCCTTCTATAAATAGCGATCGATCGAAATCTGTCATTTTTTGTTTTCTTCTCCTCTCTTCTTCTCCTCCGCAGCGACATCTCTGCCTTTTTTCCTCCAATCCTTTGCTCTCTCTCCTCAAAGCTATTGTTTCCTTAAAATCTCCATATTTCTTCCCTATTTTCCTCCTCCTTTCAAGTTTTCTCTCTTCGTTGAAGCTGTCGTTTTCCGACGACCATATTCCGACGAGGTATTTTTTTCAGCGATTGCTCCCCCTCCTTCTCTTGGTGACGGGTCCACCTAAATCTAAACCATCCTTTCAATTATTAATTTTTTCAGTTATTTATTTATGTCAAATAATTAGATTTTTTAATTTTTTAATTACTTATTATTGCTAGTTTAATTATTGAATTGATTGTTCATTGCTTGTGTTTTTTTAATTTGATTATTTAATTAAAATTTATTTTGTGTGTTATTTTAGTGTAAATTGTGATAGTTAATTGAAATGTTTAATTGTTAATTTAATATTAGTTGTTAATTGTTATGTTAATGTTGTTGTTAATTATTGATTCATTGAATATTATTGTTAACTTTTTAATTTTGTGTTATTTTTTTTAATTGTTGATTGAATTAATTTGATTGTTAATTGTTAATTTACTTACTTTAATTTATTGTTAATTTTTTTGTTAGAAAATATAATTGTTATATTTTATTTTATGTTGTTATTTAAATTGTTATTGTTATTGTTATTAGTGTAGCTAATAATTGTTAATTTACTTAAGTAATTCACAATTTATTGAAAACATTATTAATTTCAGTAATTCCTAGTTCATTAAGTTAAAGCGTTAGGTTAGTACAAAATAAATCAAAACAATTTTCTAAAATTAATTTTAAATAAATAAAAAATAAAGTTATTAGAAATATTTGTAATTGTTAGGAATTAAATAAATAATTAAGTTGTCTTTACAAAAATTTTTGAAATAAATTTTAAATAAATAAAAAATAAAGTTATTAGAAATATTTGTAATTGTTAGGAATTAAATAAATAATTAAGTTGTATTAAAAAAATTCTAAAATTAATTTTAAATAGATAAAAAAATAAAGTTATTAGAAATATTTGTAATTGTTAGGAATTAAATAAATAATTAAGTTGTATTTAAAAACAATTTTGAAATAAATTTTAAATAGATAAAAAATAAAGTTATTAGAAATATTTGTAATTGTTAGGAATTAAATAAATAATTAATTTGTATTTAAAAAAATTTTGAAATAAATTTTAAATAGATAAAAAATAAAGTTATTAGAAATATTTGTAATTCTTAGGAATTAAATAAATAATTAATTTGTATTAGAAAACATTTCTGAAAAAACTTTTAAATAGATAAAAAATAAAATTATTAGAAATATTTGTAATTGTTAGTAATTAAATAAATAATTAAGTTGTATTTAAAAAAATTTCTGAAATAAATTTTAAATAGATAAAAAATAAAATTATAGGAAATATTTGTAATTGTTAGTAATTAAATAAATAATTCAGTTTTATTTTAAAAAAAAATTTGAAATAAATTTTAAATAGATAAAAAATAAAGTTATTAGAAATATTTGTAATTGTTAGGAATTAAACAAATAATAAAGTTGTATTTAAAAACAAATTTTAAATAAATTTTAAATAGATAAAAAATAAAGTTATTAGAAATATTTGTAATTGTTAGGAATTAAATAAATAATTAATTTGTATTAAAAAATTTCTGAAAAAAAATTTAAATAGATAAAAAATAAAATTATTAGAAATATTTGTAATTGTTAGTAATTAAATAAATAATTAAGTTGTATTTAAAAAAAAATTTGAAATAAATTTTAAATAGATAAAAAATAAAGTTATTAGAAATATTTGTAATTGTTAGGAATTAAATAAATAATTAATTTGTATTAAAAAACATTTTCTGAAAAACATTTTAAATAGATGAAAAATAAAATTATTAGAAATATTTGTAATTGTTAGGAATTAAATAAATAATTAATTTGTATTAAAAAAATTTTTCTGAAAAAAATTTTAAATAGATAAAAAATAAAATTATTAGAAATATTTGTAATTGTTAGTAATTAAAAATTATTAGAAATATTTGTAATTGTTAGTAATTAAATAAATAATTAAGTTGTATTTAAAAAATTTTTTGAAATAAATTTTAAATCGATAAAAAATAAAATTATAGGAAATATTTGTAATTGTTAGTAATTAAATAAATAATTAAG